TGAGCCTAGAGGTAAATTCTCTTGGAGGTTCGTGGGTACTTATGACCCTAGGGCTTTATAAGGACTCATATATCAAGGCTTTTGGGCACAAAGACCATACTATATCAAGGCTTTTGGGCTATTTCGATGCCCAGGGTAAGTGCGGCCGTAAGTCCCATGGTGTAGTGATCCTGCTTATAACTTAATAGCTGAGTGGGTACACTTTTCACTTTTTGGGTTAATATTACCAGCGATAAAACTGAAAGTGTACACTTTTGGGGGCGAATGAACTCAGCAACTAATCACTACCCATGAGCCTCCAAGTACCTGCGCGAAGATCCCCAAACCACAGAGACCTACACCGGCAATCGGTAGCCCTGGGCCCCAGATTGTCAGATTTCCCCAGTATGAGTTTCAGATATAATTCCATAGAGAGGTGGGTTCTTGGAAGGTTAAGGATTGCCTAGTCCTGCAACCCTGAACCCTGATCCCTAAGCCCCAAAAAAACCTAAATCCCAAGCCGCACCTAGCCTGCAACCCCAAATCCAAAACCCAAGTGCTAAGCCCCAGCCCTTTACCGCATCATGGGTTACAGGGCCCGGGCTCCGGACAGTCCCTTTGAATTCATACGCCCAGAAGCATAAGCATTTAACAGGGATATACCTGTCTTGCTGGGCTTCATTACACGGAGATTTGTACTTTGGGGCCCTACACCCTAAACCCTAAACCCCCCTACTATTCTCATGGTCCAGGTTCGCCTAGTATTCTCGGAATGCTCTACTTGGCGCTTTCACGTTTGCAGGCGCCGAGTTCCGCCAAGGGTGCCGCAGTCGAGAAAGCTGCCCAAGGCTCTAGGCTACGAGCTGAGTATCACTTAGTAGCTGAGTGGGTACACTTGACACTTTTTAGGATAAGATGACACACTATAAAACTGAAAGTGTACACTTCTTGGTGCTTATGAACTCAGCAACCAAGATCAGGTCTTCAGGGTTTGGGGTTCAGGGTTTAGGGTTCAGGGTTTAGGGTTTAGGGTTCAGGGGGCTTCGTTACTCCCAAGGGTCCATGTACCCAAATAGTATATACTTTGGCCCAATGTACCTATATAGAGACTACTTTAAGGCCAAAGTATGTACTACTTGGGTACATGGACCCTTACATAATGGGATTTTTTAAAGCACGGGGGGATCATAAGGTTTTCAGGGTTGCAAAGAATTCCGAGATAGGGTCACTTCAAGGCTTTGTGTTTTTTCTTAAGAATTCCTATGCTTTAGTCCGTCTGGGTCTTTGCGGTTCCATGTAGCCGTCCAGTGTAGACTTTGGCCCTAGCGTCACTGTTGTGTAGAAACTCATGGGAATCCGTATAGGCGCACGATAGGTCCACGTGGATCTTGAAACATTTCCCCAGCAAACCCTATAATCCTTTCTCAAGAAGTATCACAGAAGCAGCAGAATTGTAGCTGAGCCTTGGGCGCTGCCCTGCCTTGCCGTGCAGCAGAGTTTGAATGTTTTCTTTACTTCAGGAGTTCCAAAGGAAGCTTTAGTGTTCAGGGTTTCAACAAAGCTTAGGGGTACTTAGAAATACTTTTGTATATTTGGTTATAAAACCCCAAAGAAACAGCTAATATTTTAATTTTTGCTAGGGTTCTCAGTTCAGTATTTAAAGAGTTCTGTAGAGTTTGACGTGCTTTCTGAGCCGCCACTCTTCCTACAGCAGGGCAGGAAGAAATATCCCCAGCAGTGGCGTGCCCGACACATCCCATCGAGCCGGCTAGGTCTTGCTGTAGAGCTTAGTAAGGGCTTAGGGCTTGGGGTTCAGGGTTTAGTGTCGTAGGTTCGATTGCAACATGGGAGATTCCGAAAATTAGGGTACCTTACTTTAGGGTCCTTACAGTCAGGATCCTACTGTTCAGGGTACTATATTAGGGTCCCCTATTTTCGGAAAACATTGATGAGTCTGCGACCTACAGTAGAAGCCCAAAAGTTGGAAACCCAATAGCTTCAATCCTTATAAGAGTACTGTATAGGGAATCCCAGCACTATTTGGCCTTAATCCGGTTTCCAACTTTAGTGGGTTTACTATACCTTGTGGCCGCCAGGATGTTGGCGGCCTTGGCCCTAGGGCTAACGAGGATAGCCCCTCGAGTTACGTGCTTGGTTGGGTCCTTAAGCACCGAACCCTACATGGGAGTTTCCGAAAATAAGGGACCCTAATATAGTAGCCTAAATCGTAGGATCCTCATAATACCCAAGTAAGGTACCCCAATTTTCGGAAACTCCCACATGCCACACCCAACATATTAAAAAGGAAAGGCGTGGTTTCGGGATTTGAGGTTCGGGACCATGTTTGGACTCGCGGGACCCCAAACCCCAGAGCCGACATTAAACTTAGGGGTACTTAGAAATCATCTTTAATTTTTGGTTATTATAATCCCTAAGAAACAGCTAAAATCACAATTTTCGCTAGGGTTCTAAGTTCAGTATAGTATAGACATCTACCAGACGGGCCAGGTTACTTCGTTTAAGATTTGTGCCTTGATTGGGGTTTGGGCGTTTCCGAAAATAGGGGGACCCTAATATGGTACCCTAACTAGTAGGATCCTGATTATAAGGACCCCCAAAAAGGTACCCAGGGGTACCCTGTTGCCCTGTCTATTTGATATCTTCCGGCTTCCGGAAGAGAATCTCCAAACACTAAGCCTTAGAAGGGGCCCCCACCGTGTAATAGTGGTATCATAGCAATATAATAGGGCCCTAATACAATCCTTATAGTCACTATTACATGGTGGGGGCCCCTTCTGTACGCCCTAACGAGCTACCTTTGTTGGTTAGCATCAGCACAGCCTATGCCAGCCAAGCTTTGAAGATGACAACCCTTAATCCCTAGACCCCTGAAACCTAAACTATAAACCCTAAACTTAACCCTAAACCCTAGTCCTGGAACCCGAAACCCTAGACCCTAAACCCCTAAACCCCAAAACCTCTGAAACCTAAACGGCTTGAAGGGATGCAAGAGGCCTGCCGGACCGCACCGGGCTCAAAGGAACCTGCGAGGGAGCGCGCCAAACGGAGCCCAAGAGTTTGTATCCTGAACCCTAACCCTCGCAACCCTAGACCCTAATCGAAAATTGAAAGCCCTAAACCTAGATCCCTAAACCCCAAAGTTCAAAAAAACCTTAATCCCTAAAAGATGTCCGCTATCCGCTATCGTAGATTAAGAAAAAAAAAACTAAACCGCTCAACCGCGGCAGCGGCCTCTTCGGGTTCGATTTGGGCCCGGTGCAGACCTCTTTGATTGCATGGCGAGCACGCAAAAAATCGGCCGAGTCCAGGGCTCGGGGTTTTGGCTTGGGGAATATCGGGAATATGGTTTAGGGGTTTACATAGTGTTTTGGGATGTTTTGGGGTTTAGGGGTTTAGGGTTTAGGGGCTAGTTGAGGGTTTAGGCTTTTGGGGTTGAGGGTTTGCAACCTAAGTCCCCAAGCCTCGGAGTGAGAGTCTTCGGCCTCAGGGTTTAGGGTTTTGGGTTCCCCGGGAGTTAAAGGGGGTCTAAATTAGGCGTGGAGACTGGTAGGACTACTACTGGTACTACTAGTACTACTAGTACTAGCTAGTACTAGTACTACTACTACTGGTACTACTACGACTGCTGCTACTACTACTACTGCTATAGCAATAAGAACGATGACAATCATCAGAATGACGATCAGGGACAAACGAACCTGTCAGCAAAAGTACCATGCATCCGCGGCATCCGGCAGATCCCGTAGGTTGTTCAGTGGCAGGCAGAGTTGATAGATCAGGTTTCTAAGACTATTCGCATTAGGGTTTAGTGTTCAGGGTGTATGGAATGAGTTTCCAAGAGGACGCGCGTTAAGGTTTAAGGCATTAGGGTTTTATGGCTTGTGTTTGTAGCAGTTTTCAGAGCACAGTTGCAGTTTGGGGTTTAGGGTTGTGGCATTTGCTGTCAAATCAGAACTCGTTGTCTCGTTCCTAGCCGCAAGAAACACAAGGATCCAAAAATAAACCCTAAACCCTAAACCCTAAACCCTGAACCCTAAACCCTAAACCCTGGAAGTCGCGGTTTCAGCGTCCGTGTATCAGCCTTAAAGCCTAAGCCGTCAACCCTAAACCGTCAACCCTGAACCCTAAACCCCTCCGTAGACCCTAAATGCAGCGAAGCTCGACCTTAACCCCAAATAACCTACCTTTTTCAGGAAATCGTATTATGGAACCTAAAAAGGTAGGTTCCTTAGGGTCCACGGAGTCGAAATCCGCAAAAATCAATCAGGCTGCAAGCGCTACTCCATGCACGGCCAGAGCGATCCATGTACTTACCTTTCTTAGCGGTACTTAGAACACTTTTTTAATTTTTGTTTATTATAATCCCTAAGAAACAGCTAAAATTGCAAAATTTGCTAGGGTTCTAAGTTCAGTATAGCTTTGGTTAGTAGGGAATGGAAGAATGGTAGTAATAGTAGTTATAATTGTACCCCATTCCTCCATTCCCTACTAACCAAAGGTAAGTGTACCTGAATAGTGTAAACTTAGCCCTTAAAGAAGTTCCTGTGTAGTAACACTGGGCTGCAGTTTGCACTTGATGGTGACGTTCCCTGACCCGCTTGCAAGAGCTATCGAGAAGTTGCGATTATGACAACCATGATGGTGAGTCTGAGAGTTTACTAGGACCCAGAGTAGGCCCTTGTTCCCTTTCTTAGGGTTCAGGTTCCCTTATAAGCCCCTTTAAACCAAAAAGGGCATCCTTTTTATGCCTGGGTTACTCTTGGGTCTAGTTTAAGAGTTCAGGGCCTAACATCGGGATGCAACACATGGTACAGATACAGGCACTAAGCTTGTGACCAACCACTACTTTAAACTCAAGCCGCGTACCTTGCAAGGGCCTGTACAATAATATCAGAATACGGAACCCTATACAATGACATTTCCTTAGAGGCCATGCGGACGATATGCCTCTTCAAAAAGAGCTCGGTAGCACTTGGGTCCTTAGGGCCGTAGAATTCGCCATGGCAGCACCGGACCTATCGCTGTTCTGCCTGCTCCTGCGCACGAACTATGGTAAAATTGCAAAACTCAACTTTTCAACTTGTAGGGTTCTTATAAGGTAGTCGATTCTGAAAGTGTCAACTTTTATTTCCTTGGGTTTTGGGCCAGTGAGATTGTAGGATTTGGGCTTCAGGGTTACCTGAAGGGTGGGTGGGAGGACTGGCGTAGGGTTTGGGGCCAGGCATTAACTTTAATTTATGCAGCTTCGGCCTGAGGCCAGGGGGACAGCATGAGGACCTGAGCAGTTACCTATGTAAACATTATCTATATACCTAGGATATCTATATTATAGTCTATATGTGTATGAATATGTTTCTGAGCGTCCTTTTCATGGCTACAATACAATGCTCCCCTGGACGCGGCTTATGCCAGGGCTTACGTTTACCTCCGAATAGCTGTCATTCTCGAAGCTGAAGCTTATCATCCCCCCCTTAGGATCCAGGTATGATTGCAAATCGACTTACTTTGTGGAACCCTACTGCTGATGGACAAAATCCTGCATGACCCTAAGGACTCTAAACTATGGGAACCGCAAGCTGGCTTACTTTGTGGTCTGAACTTACGGGTGCCAACGGGGAGTGGGAGAGTGGATCCCTACAATAGTCCTTAATTTTCTAAGGGTCCATGTACTCATATAGTATATACATTGGCCTTAATGTAGCCCCTGTATAGGTACATTGGGGCCCATGTATCTCTATATGGGTACATGGACGTAATTATAGAAATTGTCCTGTATAGTAGTCCTGGCAATCCTTATGCTCCTTCTTCCGCTGTATCTGAAGCACTGGCAAGTGAAGTCAATACATGATTAGTGTTTGTTTTGGGCTCATTGGTCATGACCTACGTCCTGCTCCTCATGTTTTCGGTGCGTCCTGTAGTTTACATATATTCAAATGCTTCCCAGCACCTAGCAGCCATACAAGATACTCTCCCAACTACCAAGACTACTAACATAAACCCAATTGCCTCATTATTCGGTCAATCCGACCCCTAACATCCCCATAGCACCCTTAACCCTCCTAAGTCCCTTCTAGAAGGAGTATAAGTACTCCTAATTAAGATAAATTTTTCCTTTCCCACTACAGGGAACTCCAGAAAGTTGGAATATGGAATAATGGTAGGATCCCCAATAATTTCCCTTAAAGGGTTTACGATAATGATATTCCAACTTTCTGGCTTCTACCGTAAGTAGTAAGCCAAACCCGCGAAGTCCGAATCTTCCAGCGGCAAGGCTCTGGAGCCAGCTCCAGGCTAGCATCTTCTGGAGAGTTCGACGTTTTGGGTTTAGGGTTTTGCGAGTATCGGGGGGGTAAGATAGGATGTTTTTATGGGGTTTTATACAATGCGATGAAAAGATGTACTCTTTATATAGTGGGTTGAAAAATGGCTTGTTGAGAATGGGCTGAATGTAGGTGTTGAGTGCTTTGTCGGGATTTACAATGGGGGCCGGAGTTGGTAATGCTATTCAGCCCACAAGGGTTCTACAAGAAATCCCTGCTCTTGGTGGGGTTGTTGGCTTCTGAAGCCCCACATTCCCACATCCCCATCGTCAGGAGAGAGCTACTACCGGGTCACAACCACTCAGCAAGACAAGACATGAACCAGCGATAACCAAGGTCCACACTAGGCGAATTGAATTCGCAGTGCGTATCTGATGTTCTCGCGAAACTGCTTGTTATTGCTGTTGTGCCAGCGTCTACATAACGACTGTTGCTCAGTCGTCGTCCACGCAGGAATGATACACTTCGGTGTGCATATCTGATGCTGTAGGTGACTTGGGTTCGGTGACATTGGTCGGCGTCCACGGGCGAGAATGCAGTTCGCAATGCGTATCATGTAGCGGAATTGGTTTTCTTGCCCAAACCCCCCCAAAGTAGGTGAAATAATTGCCCAAAGCCCACAAAAGGCCATTATTCTACATATCTTTGGGGTCGAGGTAGGTGTTTTGCCATCGTCCAGATTATCAGATTGGTCTGCACATAGACCCAGTGCCAAGATGTACCTAGATTGCACTGAAAAGTATTTTAAAACTCAGCAGCCCTTGTAGGACTCGAAGACCTAGATTCAGATGATCTTGGCACATCAGCCCTTGCTGGGAGGCTGCTCACATGCTGAAGGATGTGCGTGGCGACTGGCGTACTTGGCAGCACCTTGGCATGTGACGGAGCTGGGGGCTTGTCGTGGGTTTGGCAGGTTTCGTTGTTTGGGCGTGGAGCTCGAGGTTTAGTTAGGGATCTCGTCAGGGGATGAATTACTCAGGTTTTCTGCTAGCTTAACTCTGCTATATGTCATGTGTATCTTGTGCAGGATGCTTGTGGGCTGTTCGGGTCTCGGATTTAGGCATTAGGGTCATTCGGAGTTTCGGATCCACAGGTAAATGCCCCAAAGTTGCCAATCCTGCAGGCTTGTGTGGGAAAGCGGGGTGAGCACATCATAGCAGGGTTTAGGGTTTAGGGCTTGGGATTAGAGGTTTCGGGTTTAGGGTACCCCTGTCATGGTCACTGAAACCATAACCAAGGTCCTTAACCCATCCGCTCAAAGACTCAACCCCAAGCCCCAAATCGCAACAAACCCATATAAGCCCTCACCCCCCGAGCTCCTTGACGCAAGCTGTCGTCCGAAGCCCTACACAGCAATAGATTCAAACCCGTTGATTACAGGGTAGAACTCGTGAAATAGTGGGTATTGGATGCCGCGACGGGTACACCCTGAAGCTTTACGCCATGCATATGATGTGGCCCTCACGTACCCGTACGCAACCCTGCATAAAACCCGATGAACACCCTTTTAAAACCTTGACAACCACTATGGGCTATGAGACCCTAAAGATCCCTATTAGGACCCTATTAAGGGTAGATTAAGGTACCCATAAGGTGTAATAGCCCATAGTGGAAAGCCCTTGCAAACTGCTCGAGAGGCCGATCCCAGTGATCGCCCTTTGCGCCAGCCTCCCGGCAGCTCTCTTCCCCGGCCAGGTGAGAGGGCGATCTCTTTCGGGGTGTCTTCGGAGTTTGGGAAAGCCGGCAAGAGTGATGAATAAAGGGACCTCAGTAGTTACCTATACTACTGCTGATGGACAAAATCCTGCATCACCCTAAGGACTCTGAACTATGGGAACTATGGTATATTCCTTATAATGGATAATGCAGGATTTTGTCCATCAACAGTATTTTGGGGGGGGTTCCGTATTAGAAATAGATTATATAGTATGATGGGCCCCAAAACCCTATTCTAATTATTAAGGTCCCTACATTATGCTAGTTGGGAACCCGCCGATTTGGCTCCATCAACCCCGCAACCCCAAGCATAGCGACGCAAAGCCTGTGAACGCTAATGTTCAACAATCCACAAAGATCCTGGAGCCTAAACTGCCTGGTTTGAGTTGAGGTCAGAAGCCCTAAACCCCAAGACCCGCCTGTAGTCATATACCTATTCTATAGAAACTGTAGCACCCTACAGATTAGTAGTCGCAGTCTATAAATGCCCCAACAACACAATTCCTACTAATACTACAAAACCAGCTTAAGAACATACACAAAGCGTCCTCGGTCCTGTTCTGGGGGATACTTGCCCAAGGCAAAATAGTAACTCAGTAATTCCTTTTTAGTACTATACAGGTGCTTAGGACCCGTTGGGAATGGTGTATACTTTGACTTCAAAGTAGTCCCCATATAGGTACTTGCGGGCCCAAGTATATACCATTTGGGTACTTAGGGAACCTTATAACCCTACAAACCATTGCACAACCCTGACAGATCCCTTAAGGACCCTTCTTGAAGGCTCATGGGGCGTAGTAAGTAAGGTTATGAGTAGGTTATAATTAGGATAACCCCACTTAGGGGACTTATAACCCCAGTTATAACCTACTTACTAAGTCCCATGATCCTCTAAGTTTATGGTACCCTTAAAGGAGCCTCACTTGGACTCATAGACCAAAGAGCCCGCGCGAAGGCGGCTACGTTGCTGCCCGTTGCGGCCGCCAGTAGCGGCGTGTCGGGCTCTCAAGATTTTTTCTTTGAGGTGGGTTTAGGGTTAAGGCTTTGTTACAGTTTAGCGTTTAAGGTTGGGGTTTAATTCGGGTTTGGGGGTTTATTAGAGTTTAGAGTTTATTAGGGTTTAGGGCATTGGAGGACTTCGGGTTTTTACAAGAGTTTAGGGTTTATTTGCGTTTAGGTTTTAGGGTTTAGTAGGGTTTTTTAGAGTTTATAAGAGCTTAGGGTTTAATAGAGTTTAGGATTGATGGGTTTTGGGGTTTAGGGTGTATTAGGGTTTAAGGTTTAGCGTTCAATAGGGTTTAGGGTTCATTAAGGTCTGGGCTTTGCTTCTCAGAGTTTAGGGTTCAGAGTTCATGTGGGTTTAAGGTTTACTAGGGCTAGGGTTTAGGATGTATTACAGTTTGCCTGAGTTTACCCTGAAGAACCTACCTTTTCTAAGGACTTGCATAAGGAGACCATCATGAGGAACCCTTAAAATAGGTAGGATGTTCAGGGTTGAGGTAGGGTTTAAGGTTAAGGGCTTCATGTGAGCTACAGGCGTTTCTCTCCGTACATAGGATTAGTCTGCGGGCCTACCCGGGTATCAGGATGTTAACGTTTATGTTGCAGAACGATAAGGCGCCTGCCCAAAAGCGATAACCCTGGGATAACATCAAGAGGAGCGTGTGCATCACGAAAGGTCAAGTTCTGCAATTTTGCAGTTTGTTCAGATTGTGTCTAAATCGATAACGAAGCGATAACCCGCCAGGTAGGTTTGGTAGTCATATCCACCACATGCCCACATGGCTGGTTTTGTGTGAGGATCTTCCAACTCCTACACAAGCCAGCGACTTGAAGCCCCAAGCCCTAGACCCGAGCCATTCTGTAACCGGTGAGACACAAGTCAAAAACTACCCTACATAACCTTTCAGCTTCGACTCTGTTGCTTCAGGCCCAATATGTCTATCAGATCGCTTTCAGATAGATAGCGGGAAATCCTGCAGAACGATAAGGTGCCCGCCCAAAAGCGATAACTCCATATAAAGGTTGGGAAGGTGGTCTCATAGGTTTTGCCGCTGGCTCATGTGTTTAAGAGTTCAGGCAGGGTTTGTAATGCAGGATTTGTATCATCAACCGTAGTTGGGAGTTTCCGAAAATTAGGGGCACCACAGTTTGGGGTCCTTATAACACGGATCCTGCTATTAAGGGTACTATATTAGGGTCCCCTATCTTCGGAAATCCCCATTTGTCTACTTGGAACCCTGGGGCACGAGGGCTTCGGGCTTGAGGGTTTAGTTTACCTTACACAATCCCAGTTTGCTTCCCATGAGACTTCATATGCCTGCGACTGATCATCTATCTCGCGGAAAGGGCTGAAGTACTTCGGGGCCGTCGGTCTGACTCTGAGGCCGTAACAAAGGGTTCAGTAGGGTTTAGGTAAGGTTTATTGGGGTTCAGGGTTTAGGGGGGAGGAAAACAAAGCCGACAGGGGCCGGGATTCGGGTTTGGGGTGTTTGTTTTGAACCAGCTCGAAGCTGTTTCGATTACTGTGGGCGGCTTATGGCTTGCATCTGTCTTGGCAGTCGGTGCAACTTAGAGGGTTCGTTTTGGGGTTATTGACATTTTCGTTCTCGTCCACAGGAAGTAAGAATTCCAAACCTTGAACTTGAGTTCCGTACTCCTGTGACAGGTACCTTTGGCTTTGTGGGTCGCGATCGAACCACATCATGCAGGTCGGCCACACTATTTCCCGGCCCAGCCGCATTGATCTGAGCCCCGAAGCTTAAAACCCATTAATTAAGCTTGAAAAGAAGCCTTAAATGTTCCAGTTGTCGAGGAGAGTATTCCGAAAGAAGTAGCGCGCCAGGCCCCGAACCTTTGGTCGAGAAGGAGGTTCTTGAAGGATTCTTAGAGGGGGCTTCAGGGTTTTGTATAGGGGTGCTATCATGCCCAAAGCACTTAACAATGAGGTAGTTTCGGAAAGCATAAATAGGTTCGCATGTCAAATGTAGGGGCCACTAGAATCTGAGTGGGTGTTTTGAATCGTAGCGTTTTTTTATCCTACGGAACATGCATATCAACAGCCTCCAGATACGAACAGTATCGGTACCCTATGAACTCCTTCCATCATCTACATACAACTCGCAGAAATTCGCATCTTGAGCATTTTCCCTGGGTCCTGCTGAATTTTCGGCGGGGATCACCTTTAAGATTAAGTTACTAGGCCCAAAAGCTTAAATTGCGGTTTAGGGTTTAGGGTTTAGGGCTTAAATCCCGAACCAACTGGACCCGGTGTTCAGCCAGCCGGTCGTTGGGGATTCCACGGCGAAGCTGCCCAAAATTGAGTGGGCGGACAAGGCCCAGATCCTTGGCATGGCATAGGCGGATCAGGGATGAGCAAGCCGCTGGAATCCCACGGTTCTGGGAGGAATCCAAGACTCCGGCGCCAACCAGAACACGGTTTAGGGTTTAGGGTGAAGCACCGGAAGTCAACGAGAAGCACCGGAAGTGGCTCCAGAACCTTGTGGACAAGCAAGCGCTGTCTCTTGCTGCCACAGAGAGGCATGCCCTATGGACGCATGCGCTGACGGATTTGATCCATCTCCACTTCAAGGATGTCATCGGCGACGGAGATGCCCAGGGCGGTGCCGGCTTCGGGGTTTATGCTTTGTGGGTTTCTGGGGTCATGGTTGATATAGGGTAAGGGTTTACGGGTAAAGGCTTCATGGCTTCACAATTGGAGTTTTAGGGATTTCGGCTGTTTGTTTTTCAGGCTCCTGAAGACGGTTGGTTCTGAAAGGCACATCTTTCTCGAAAGGACCCGCGGACCTACATGACGAGTACACAACCCAAAATAGCAGCAATCCTCAGTAGCTGAGCCTTTGATCCTTCAATCGTTATCCTTGGCTGCCCCTCCCTAAACCCTAAACCCTAAACTCTAATCCCCTCAACCCTAAACCCTCAAACCCTAAACTCTAATCCCTGAACCCTAAACCCTAAACCCCAAGAGAGACTGCCCCTCCCTAAACTTTAACCCTAAGCCCTAAACCCTAAAACCTAAAACCATCAACCCTAAGCCCTAAGCTAGACCAGCGAGAGTTGCAGCGAGGATTTGATTATCAATGCAGCCATTGTCCTGGCTGCAGTGACTGGACCAGGCCTCCCCTTGCTGTGGAAGAGTCTAAGGGGTCCTTAGAAGGATTTATAAGGGGGTCTTTGAAAGAGATCTATGAGGTTTAGGGGTCAAGGGTTTAGGGTTCAGGGGTTTAGGGTCTACGGGTTTAGGGTTTAGAGGTTTAGGGTTCAGTACTACTACTGCTACTTCAATTACCACTACTACTACTACTACTACTACTACTACTACTACTACTACTACTACTACTACTACTACTACTACTACTACGACTACTACTGCTACTGCTACTGCTACTGCTACTGCTACTGCTACTGCTACTGCTACTGCTACTGCTAGTGCTAGTGCTAGTGCTACTGCTACTGCTACTGCTACTGCTACCGCTACTGCTACTGCTACTGCTACTGCTACTGCTACTGCTACTGCTGCTGCTGCTGCTGGCTGCTGGCTGCTGGTGCTCCTGCTGCTGCTCCTGCTGCTGCTGCTGCTCCTTCCGCTGGTGCTGCTTCTGCTGTTGTTGCTGTTGCGGTTCCCGTTGCTACTGCTCATATGGCATTGTTAAGGAGCAGAGGCAGCGCAGCTTGTTGGGCGGTCTGGACTATGACTATGAGGATAACTTACAGCTGCCAGAGTTTTTGTTGTGGGAGGACACATGTAAGGCAGCGACCCTTAAAACCTTAAAACATTTCAAGCCCTGGTACCCTAAGCCCTAAAGCTTGAAAATCCCAATGTGGGCAGTTCAGTCTTTTGGCTTCGGATTCTTGATGTCCCGGGGGGGGGGGGGGGGGGGGGTATGGGTTCCAGCGGTATCGGGCTTAGTTTAAGGTTTCTGGTTTAGACCACAGCGGGAAGTCAAGGGGCGATCAGTGCTACGGGTTTAGGGCTTGGGGTTACAGGCAACGATATGTGAGTTTTCGAAAATAGGGGACCCCCCCCCCCCAATATAGTACACTAAAGCTAAATAGCAGGATTCCTATCATAAGAATCCCAGAACACCCCCAATTTTCGGAAACTCCCATATTATCTTTGCGATAATGTGGAGACCACTGACCAATTGTGAACAAGACCCTCCTGAATCTTCCCTTTGCCCTGCTTGGAGGATCATGAGCCATAGTAAGTAAGGTTATTAATAGTACCATAATTGGGGTCATAAGTATAGTTACCCTAGTAATAACCCTAGTTACTACGCCCCATGATCCTTTAAGTGTTATTTTCCCCCAAACATCCACGATTCGGTACTGCCCAGACTTTCCAAAATCCAAGTGAGGAATGCCCCTTAAACCTTGGTAGAAAATCCTACATAATTCCCCCAAGCCCTATATTAACCCTAGTTGAGGGAACAGTGGAGACCCTAAACCCTAAAAAGGTCTGGGAGGATTTCGAGGTCTAAGGAGGGCCTGGCAATGGATACAAGTAATGTTTTTGTTTAGGGGTTTCGGGGCGTTTGGGGTTTCGGGGTTTAGGGTCCAGGGCCCTTAAACCCTAAGCCCTTACCTTATCGCGCTACTGACTGATAGTTTAAGGCTTTTGAAGGGCCCAAAGACTCTACAAACTCTACTATACAAGGCTCACGCTAAACCCTAAACCCTAAACCCTTACCCTATGTTGAAACTTGGGGTTAAGGAGCCCAGAATTCTGAAAAGGAGCCCTTTCCATAAGCGGGACCCTTTACCCTGAACCCTCTTGACCTTCAACCCTTAAGGGAAAAAGGAGCTCAACAACAAATCCCTTAGGGAACAAAAAGCCTTAAACCCTGAACCCTATATGCTAAACCCTGAAGGAACATTGGGCCTGCAACCCCAAAATAGCAGGATTCACACAAGGAACCCTAACAAACGCGGCCCAGGGTTTCTTCATCAGGTTCCTACATGACGTTCAGCCCTTTAATGGAACCCCAAGGGTTCATGTAGTCCTTATTTATGGTTTTCGATACCCAAAACAGCCCTAGAGTCCAATAATAGGGAGTACTTGGACCGTTAGGGGAACCCTTAAGGAACCCTTAGACAGGGAGCCCCTCGCGCGTCACGAGGAAATCCGGCGGACTTCAGCCGACGACTCGGCGCCGCGGTCCATCGGTTTCTAGCCCCGGGCCTCGGGCCTGGGTTGGGGTGTCTTCTTGGGGTTTAGGGTTTGGGGTTTAGGTCTTTAGGGCTTTAGGGTTTGGGGTTTAGGGTTTACGGTTTAGGGTTCCTTTAAGGGGCCCTTTAAAGGGATCTATAAGGGACCTATTATAGTAGGGGTCTATTCTTGGGGTTAAGGGTTTAGGGTAGGGTGGTTCAGTAAACCCCGGAAAGTTGGAAACCGGATTAAGGCCAAGTAGTGCTGGGATTCCCTATACATCACTCTTAAGGATTGAGGCTAGTGGGTTTCCAACTTTTAGGCTTCTAGTGGTGTAAGGGTTTAGGGTTCCTTTAAGGGGTCCTTTAAAGGGATCTATAAGGGACCTATTGTAGTAGGGGTCTGTTCTTGGGGTTAAGGGTTTAGGGTTCCTTTAAGGGGTGCTTTAAACTTATCTATAAGGGACCTATTATAGTGGGGTCTATTCTAGGGGTTAAGGGTTTGGAGTTTAGGGTTCCCTTTTAAAGGGTCCTCACAGGGATCCATAAGGGACCTATTATAGTAGGGTTCCATGATGTAGGGGCCTTAATACTTAGAATAGGGTTTTGGGGCCCCTTAGACTATAATTCTAATAAGGAACCACCAAAACAGTATTCCTTCCTTCCTCTCGGACTCTGGTGCCGCGGGGGGGCGCGTCCAACCAAAACAGTATTGGTAATCATTCAGGCCCTTATATCAGGGTTTACCTAGACCCTTCATAATCTACTTTTTGAAGGGCTTATATGGGTGGATGTCAACATGATGGTCCCTTTTTTGGGTCCCTAATATACTACGGCACCTAATATTCAGGCTACCCTAAGACGGGACATAAAGGGGAAATCATACGAAGGAACCCCAATTTTGTTTTTTTTGGCTTCAAGGCTTACCGTTGGTTAGTAGGGAATGGAAGAATGGTAGTAGTAGTAGCTATAACTATTAGACTATACCCCATTCCTCCATTCCCTACGAACCAAAGGTAAGAAGGTGGAGGTCAGGAGAGAGTAGAGTTTACCCTAAACCCTAAACCCTAAACCCTAAACCCTAAACCCTAAACCCCTAAACCCTAAACCCTAAACCCTAAACCCTTTAGGAGGATTTAGGCTAGATTTGAGAGGCTTTTTGGTCCAGCGTTTCGCGTCCTTCTGCCAAGAGACTTCTGTATGGTTTGGGGGGGTACTTAAGAGATCATGGGACATAGTAACTATAGGGTTATTATAAAGGCAACTATACTTATAACCCCAATTAGGGTACTTATAGCCTTACTTACTAAGTCCCATGATCCTCCAAGCAGGAGAGTTCTACAAGGTTGTTTACGCAGGCCGACGATATTTTGTACCAAGACCTTGTTCTAATTATGAAGGCACTAATGTTGTGCACTGCATAGAACCCTATTATTCACAGGCCCTGACAGACCCTTTTATCGGATTATCGGAACCCATCAAGAAGCCGTTCGAGGGGAGGGCAGGCACCCGGCGTTACCCAAGGAGCTGGGTGGGTTTAGGATTTAGGTTTTGGGGTGTAGGGGGTAGGGTTTAGTTTAGGGTGTGTGGGACAGCAAAGGGTGGGAGTGCCATAAAGTCGGCGCCGGGAGGCCGATGTCGAAATGTAGAGAGGTATTCGGTTCAAGCTCCTATCACAATATTTCGTAAGTCAGCGTGTAATTCATAGTATAGAAATACATATGGGAGGAGAAGGCACTATCAGCCAAGGACCAACATCTGGTGGATTGGCTCAGCAGCGTTGACGGCAACATGATGACTGAGCTGATGCGTCGAAGCTGCGATCTAGAGCAGCTAACGTGCTTCCTCTACCTGAGCAGCGGCTTGATGCCAACGACCTTGCAAACGGAGAATGCAGAATCTGCATTCCAACAAGCTACCAATGAGCATACACAAGTTCCACCTCGACGGCCAGTGGCTCGATGGGGATAAACTCGAGCAGGCACTGTTCCTCTCTGGAACTTGCAACGCGTTTTGAGCGAGAGTGCCTTGGGGAGTATCCCGGTAGGTCCATCCCAAGCTACCCTGTGCCCAAATCAGACACCGAGGAATCTGAACCCTGCGCCCTAACGAGAACGCACAGCCCTAAACCCCAAAAGTGTGCTCGGAAGATGATAAACTTTCGTTGCTACGATCGGAGGAGCCAGTTAGCACTTCATGTGAATTTTATACAATTTCTCCCGGCCATCAGCTAAAGAACCCGAGCCCAGTTAGGGTGTACGGTCTAGGGTTAAGGGTTTTGAAGTCAAGGTCCATTTCTCCAGGCCTATTTGCATGTTCAGGCCTATGTGTCGCGCTGTTCTGATTGTTCTCGGTTCCCTCGTTCACCATACAGAATTCGGCGCATAGCCGTCGGCCGACTGCCGCCCTTGTTTGTGTGGTCTGACCAAATTGGGTGCTGCTTCACAAAATGTGCATTGCTAGTTGTATCCCCATGATAAACCAAGATAGAAAACAATGAATATTCGCTGCATATATATATATATATATGTATATGTGATATACGTATATGTATAGATGTACTGACATATATGTACAGAAATGGATACACAATCCCAGTGACAAAATCCTGTAACCTCACTTCACGTGCTAAACCTAAACCAGCGCCTACTTACTTTATACTTTATATGCCTCAACGTCTAAGCGCACAAGCTCTGAAAGCTGAACCTGTTTCACACACCTAGACGGTCCAACGGTTGATGATATAAATCCTGAATGACCCATAATAAGGAATTTGCCATAATAATTCCCATAGTTCCGGCACCTTAACATAATGCAGGATTTATATCATCAACCGAAGTACCCAAAAAGTGGGGCTTTAGGTCCCAAAATCCATAGTCTGAATAGTTTCTAGCCCTGCAACCCTACTATTTGGGTACTTGGACCCTTAGAGGGACAGGGAATTCGAAGCCCAAGGCTTTCAGTTCTATTATCGGAGGCACTTGCTAGGTATGTGGACCCCAAAGGTATAAGGTAAACGCCAGAAAGTTGGAATATGATTATCCTAACACTTCTATGGTAAATTATAGGGTATCCTACCATGAAACCATATTCCAACTTTCTGGAGTTTCCTATATATATATATACATACTATACTGTCACTGGGACCCTAAACCCTAAACCCCAAAAGCTCCCTAAACCCCGAAACCCTGAAGCCCTAAACTCTAATCCCCTATAACCCTAAACCCCTAAACCCATAAGGTCGTTCTCTACGCCGTGTCCGCGCTGCACAAGCTGTCCCTCGGGCTGAAAGTCTTCCTTCTGCCATACCAGATTCCTGTAGGGTTTAGTAGGGTTTAGGGTTCAGTAGGGTTTAGCAGGGTCTCGGGTTTAGGGTAGACCTCTTTGATTTGCAGGTTCTATGTCGGGTTTTGTGTGGTTTCGTATGGTTTTCCTACGTTTCTGTTTTTTTTGCGGTTTCGAGCGGGTTCTTACGGTCTTGCATGGTTTTCTGTAATTTTCGTGCGGGGTTGGGCGCGATGGGTGCCAATTCGGTGTTGCAACGTTCGGTGCCGTTTGATTCGGCGACTGGGTCGGGTTTGCGGGGCGCAGGGTGGGATGGAGGTGAGGCATACTAACAGTTCGGTACTAATTCCGAGATACTGCTCAGACGCCAAAACCTCAACAAACGTCAGCTAAACCTCGGTTTCCGGCACCTTCAGCCAGGGTTGTCATGTGTGGAGGTTCCCCAATAAAGAAGCGGTAGATCGGTAAAGGTACCTGTTCATCTTTAGTTAACAGATTCGGACTAAAGAACCAGGGAAGCTGACAGCTCTGCGTTAAATCCTCAACCTGACCCACAGAACCTTAAACCCTAAACCCCTAAACCCTAACTCTACCTCTAACAACTTAATTGTTGTTAGTGCGTTCTCTTTCTTGGAAGTCATAATTATCCCGATTGTGTGTGCCGGTTTAGGGTTTAGCATTGATACCTTGACTCGGCGCCAAACCGAAACCCCACCATAGAAGCTTAAATAATTGCCAATGTTATTCCTTAGGGTTCCTGATTATTATTATTACTATTATTATTATATACTGTTATTATCACTTTACATAAAGGAGCCAAAACCCTATCCTCATTCTTAAGGCCCCTACATTACATGCCAACGCGCGAGCCCCGCCCCGCATCTTCCTGCCTCAGGAACTCCGACTGGTTCGACGCGCAGGTCGGCGTACCGACTATGGTGGGTTTAGGTATAACATCAGTTTTGGGTTTAGGGTTTTGGGGGTTTTGGGGTTTTAGGGTTTAGGGTTTAGGGTTTTGGGGTCTTGGGGTTTAGGGTTTAGGGTTTAGGGTTTTGGGGTTTAGGTATAACATCAGTTTAGGGTTTAGGGTTTTGGGGTTTAGGGTTTAGGGTTTTGGGGTTTTGGGGTTTAGGGTTTAGGGTTTAGGGTTTTGGGGTTTAGGGTTTAGGGTTTTGGGGTTTAGGGGTTTAGGGTTTTGGGTTTAGGGTTTTGGGGTTTTGGGGTTTAGGGTTTTAGGGTTTAGGGTTTTGGGGTTTTGGGGTTTCAGGGTTTTAGGGTTTAGGGTTTAGGGTTTTGGGGTTTTGGGGTTTTAGGGTTTTGGGTTTTGGGGTCTTGGGGTTTTAGGGTTTTGGGTTTTCGGGTCTTGGGGTTTTAGGGTTTAGGGTTTTGTAGTTTTGGGGTTTAGGGTTTGAAGGTTCCCCAACACAAGTGTAAGTATATACCATCATATCTTATAGATACCCCTCTCATCACAAGCGCTTCAGGCGAGGCATGGCCAGGGGTTAGGGGTTGCGAATGGACCTAGAGGGAGGTAGCGTCAAAGGTTTACGACTCCGGGAGGTGGTTACTTTAAACCCTAAGGGTCCATGTACCTAAATAGTATATACTTTGGGCCCACTGTACCCATATAAGGAGTACTTTAAGGCCAATGTATATGCTATTTAGGTACATGGACCCTTAGGGTTTCAGAGTTTATGACAGGACTCCGGAGCATGGAGGCCGATCTCGGGGTTTGAGGCTCAGGGTTTGATGATCTCCAAGGGTAAAAGGAGGGACCCTCAACAATATATATATATATATATATACCCATTATATCGCCCATTATAGAATAGGGGTCCCTCCCTCCTTTTCCCTTTTGATGATAGTTAGGACCTTGTATTTGGCACCATTTCTTTCAGAGGCCCCAAGTCAAGTACCAAGGTTCAACGTTTTCTATAGCACGATTTTATAGTCTTCTTTAAGGGCCTCCGTAGAGGGTCTTTTAGAGTCTAGATACCTATGATTTTATTAGGCCCTTTAGGTCCCAAATCATGTACTCTGAAATGGCTTCCGGCACCTAGAAAATGAACGATTACTGCTGCATCTACTTGAGGACTATGTGTGATGAATGAAGAAGAACGAGCAAGCTGTTGCGCAAGCACCAGTTACTATGTCGGGAGGTTTCTCGTGAAGTCCTCTCAGCCCTTTCCCCGCAAGATAGTGGTCAACATACACATGGGAGTTTCCGAAAACAGAGGACCCGGATGTAGTGGTTACCCTAAATTGTAGGATCCCTTTTATACGGACCCCAAAGTAAGGTACCCCTAATTATCGCAAACGCTCGCATATGTCACGACCCAAACTAAACCCTAAGGGTCCATGTACTCATATAGTATATACATTGGCCTTAATGTAGTCCCTATATAGGTACTTTGGGGCCCATGTATCTCTATATGAATACATGGAATTACGGCGCCCAGCTGACAAGTCACGCCGCATCAAGGGGAGGTATGTTGAGATGATAGCCTATGGCTTGCACATGTCTGGTGACAGTGACAACACCGCAACGAATGGCATGTTGCACTTTTGCATACGGGCCATTATCCTCTTCCTGGTGACCGGGATCGATATCCTGCGGGATGCTGGCGCTGCAACTTTAGCGGCAATTCTGGTTGAGGGAGATGATGGTGGCGACATATGCAAGGCCATTTGTGAAGCAACTGCAGCTCAATTTGCGGCTGAGTTGTGGACATGCTTCGGCTTTAAGTCCGAACAGGTTCCAGGGGTCCTGGACATAGGGTTTAGGGTTTAGCGCGAAGGGCAGGGGTACCTTGGTTCGAGTTCTGCTCATCGCATTATGGGTACGCAACTCAGGAGCGTACCTATTTTGCACTCCCTGCGCAGCCGCGCGCAGCAAGGAGGGCTTTCTCTTGCCCGAAAAGCCTTAGGGAAAGCTTAAAGTAGCCCAGAGGCCTCCTTCAGTCTGGTTTCTGGCCTGAGTCCATGAATCAATGAGGCCCTCGAGCCGAGCCTGAACCCTAAAGGGTCCATGTGCCCAAGTAGCACATATTTTGCGCCCAATGTACCTATATCGGGACTACTATATGAGGCCACAGTATGTACTATTTGAGTACATGGACCCTTAGGGAATATACCATAATTTTTATAAGGAGCCCACCAAAACCCTATTTGGAGGTAAAGGTTGGGGATCTGCAGGTGTCCTGCGCATCGTCCGTCACGGCCACACTGCTGGCACAGTGCCTTCCCGCCTCGGGGTCAGGGTTTGGGACCCTTCCTTGGAGGATCATGGGACTTAGTAAGTAATACTCCTTAAAGGGCTCCTTAAAGGGATCTATAGGGTTTCTATAAGAGTTCTTATAAGGAGGATCATGGGACTTAGTAGTAAGGTTATAAGTACCCTAATTGGGGTTATAAGTATAGTTACCCTCATAATAACTCTGGTTACTAAGTCCCATGACCCTTGAAGTGCCCGAGACCTTTTGCGTGGGGTCTTGGCTAGCTAGCAGAAATGTGCAGCGTGGGTGCTTCACAGTCTAAAGGCTGGCCCTGAGGATTTCAATTTCATCCTTGGTTTAATGGTTACTGGTATCCCCAAACCCTACAGAAAAGTTGGTTATGACCCCTTAATGAAGAGGCTCTAACCCCTTGAAACGGTATGTTTTTGGATCCCCAGGAAGGGTCTGGCAGGTCTTCTCCTCATGAGAACCAAGCCTGAAGACCTTAAGCGCAGAGACGCCCCTGGCCAAAATATAGAGGCCTTCGTAATTACGTATGCTATCGTGGGGGTTCCGTAATATATTTATGAATATACCCCCCAACCTTATTCTAATCATTAAGGCCCCTCGCCCTACCCTCAAATTCTGAAACCTTTTGCCCCGAACCCCTTACACCCTATTGGTTCCCTCAGCGCCAAACCCTGGTAACCCTAAACCACCTGAGATGCCCATGTAGGAGTGTGGTAACCCAGAGACTCCACTGCTCTTAGTTAAGGAATATATACTTTAGATCATATTCGGGATCCTACCATAATTTTAAGGCATATACTCCTTGATTAAGGGATATTGGGTCTCTCGGTATTTCTTCTGCATGGAGTCTTCGCAGTAAGCGCCATCTCTCATCGCGAGGTACGGCCCTGCGTGGCTCAAAGGCAGATTCAGGGAAGTCCTGTGGCGTTCGTAACATCAGGGCTTCCACTTTTAGGGCTTAACTCTGGTTCAGTATGTACCTGTTATATAGTATGCACTTACTGCTTAAGGGCTTCCTTTTTTGGTGGTTTTTGTTTGCGGGTCCATGCACCTATGTTAGGTACTCTAGACTCTGAGTGTATACTACTTAGACGCACGAACCCTACAGGCACAGTAGCGAACCTGTTGCTGAGGGCCTCGGGTATATACTGGAGGTCCCATGGCTTCAGTAGCTTGCAAGGCGTCGAAGTGCTAGAGCCTTAACCTCTAATCAGCCCAAAACACGGCCCAAAAGACCGAACATGTGCTCCTTGTATGCCTTCCTTCCATCTGTGATTAAAAAGTACAATATGTTGGTCTGGTCAGGTAAGATTCAGCTCTTCGGATTTGTTGATTTGTGTTGTTTCCTTTGAGGCTCCGAGTATCTGGACCCTAAAGCCCTAAGAGTTGGGGTCTAAGGTTGCAGAACTCTATAGGGCTACTGTAGGGAGGGTTTTGGAGTATATTCTAGTATACTTAATTCAAGAACCCTCAGGAAAAATAGTTGTAATTCTTCCGACAAAATGAAATTTGGGAATTTGTAAGGTTTCCAGTAGGATCCTGCGATGGATTCTACAGAGATGTTGAGGGTCCAAGGACCCAAAAAGCAGTTTACTCCAACATTTTGCGCAATCAAGAAAGCTGGAGGAGCATTTGAAAAGCCCTACAACGCCTGCGTAAACCGTGTATGTTCTCTATACTTTTTCGATTCTGGATAATTGTTAATTTCCCTTTTGTTTAATATAGAGCCTTAACTGTACATAATTTTTGGGGATGTACACTCCTGAATTCAAATCCTCTGCACAACCATAGAACCTCCAGATTCCAGCAAAGACATCACTCTTATCAACATCGACTTGTAAAGTCTGTTAAAAACTTTCACAGGCACCTATATGCGCCCTGATGCAATCGCTTTAATAGCCTTCCGCTTTCTGCAGGCAGCCCGGTGGCTACTTTCGTGCTTGAGACCTCGCCAGGGGCTGCCGCAGCCTTCGAGGTGGATTCTAGGTACTACGTATCCTTCTACCCGTTTTAGTTTAAGGTCCCCTTGTTGAAACAGAATAGTAGGAGAAAGGATACCCTTATTATAAAGGGGTTACTGCGGAACCTATGATTTCGGGTTTTCGATTTCGGGTTTTTCCAGGGGCAGACTGTTTGAGCGTGTGGGCCTATTGGGGTGGATCGTCTTAGCAGGAGTCTGTTTGAGAAGTTTGAAGTTTTTGGAATTTGGGTTTCGAGGTTCATGGGTTGAGAATTGTAGGGTGTAGAGTTACTTTAAAATTACGGCTTGGGCTTGCCCATAGGCTCCACGGTAGTTCCGTTTCGGGATCACCTTATGGGATCCTAAATGTATAAGTCACGAAAAGGAACCACAGTGGAGTCTATGGGTGGGTTGTTGCAGGCCTGGGAAGATTCGAAGGCCTAAAAAGTAAGTAGTTATTTTTGAGACTTATAAGTACCATAACCCCAATTAAGATCCCTCTTAGGGCACTTATAAGTCTACTTACTACCCACTTACTAGGTCCCCTGACCCTCCAAGTACCTGAACCCTCAACAACCTACCTTAAAGGGCTCCTTGCTAGGATGTCCTCACACATTTCCTCGAGAAGGTAGGCCGGTGATGTTCAGGAGGGGATTAGGGTTTGCAGGAGATTGCATCTAGAAGTTTCATGCGGCTTGATGGCGTCATTTGGTTCAAGGCGTCTCGTTTTTGGGGTCTATACATGTTTTGCAGGTAGAGGTGTCACGTACTCTTGCATGTCACCACTCACCAGGGCGTAGAATTCAGGGTTGCCAGCAGAACGTCATGAGTGCCAGAACTCTACCTGCGTACCCGGGCGGACTTCGTAGCTAGTCTTGCGTGTGGTGTCGTTTCTTGGGCACCCTACGGGGTCCAGTTTGGGTCTTAGTAGGGTTTTAAGGTACCAACAGCCAAACGGTGCAGACTTCTTTGAGATCCTACCGTTTGGGTATTTGAACCCTCTGCGTGGAGTGCGCACTCAACCCCGAACTCGTTCACCCAGCCGGCAAATACTACTGCTGTGCATGACCCTATTATAAGGACTCTAAACTATGGGAACTATGGTATATTCCTTATAATGGGTAATGCAGGATTTTGTCCATCAGCAGTACCTTCCCTGGTCTTCCAGCAGCAACATCTGGGGTTCCCCAAGAGCCCCACAAACGCTTGGGCTCGCTATGTACTTTAGGGCAGCATTGGATTCTTAGGTATTTGAGCAGAAAGGGTATAAGCACAAATCTGAAAATTTCCTAGGCTCTCGACAACTTGCATGACCGCCATAACTTGACAACTTACAACGCTGGAACACCCGACTATTCAATCATTCCCGGCGGGTGAACGAAGTAGCAGCTCTTTAGGTCCCAAGCACAATCCTCAGAGCTGTTCTTGCAATTGGTAATTACGAAACTAAGCAAGTTGGAGACTTGCTGTTCTCGAAATCCAAACTCCGAACCCTAAACCCTTATCTTTAAGGCTCTTGGAGACTTTGTTACTTTGTTCCTTTTTTGGTTCCGGTCTTCTTTTATAGGGGTCTTCGAAAAAGTAGTTTTTTGCTTACCTTCCAAGGGGAGTAGAGTTATGAAGCCTTTATAGGACACTTAAGCAAATAGTGCTAAGCCGCTAAGCAGAGTGGCAGGTGATCTTGCCCGCCCTGCTTGCAGCAGCCGGTCCTCCAGGTGCTTCTGGAGCGCTGCGCGGTCGGGTCCTCAGTCTTTACCCTACGGGTCCAATCAGTCCTTTTTTATGGTTTTTGATACCTAAAAAGGCCCTAAAGTCCCATACTAGGGAGTACTTGGACCCCTATGGTTTCTGTCTCGCATTATTGTTTGTATTACAGTGACAGGTTTTGGGTTTAGGTTTTTGTGTTTCTTGTGGTCAGTACAAGAGGGTTTTGGGTTTCGTTCTTGTTTTGGGAACTAACATGGTTTCCGGGGTTTAGCAGGAAGTTGATGGTGTTGTTGGTAGGGCTCGAAGCGGGTTCGCAGGTTGCCTCTATCTTACTGCAGCACGCAAGTTTTCCTGCATAATTTGAGGCAGTTTCAGTATATGTGAGCTTTGGTCGAGGGGTGCTTTGGTCTTGGGGTGTCGGTTTGGGGGGTTTCGGGGTGGGTCCGTGCAGGGTTCCGTAAGGGTCTCCACCCAAATCCTGAGCAAGACGCCTTGTTTCTAAGGTTTTCCTGTTGCCGCAAATCAGTAGATGGGATCTGAAACCCCTCCGACAGACCGATTTGGGTATATCCTAGAAATCCCCTACAGAAACCTGAGAGAACCCTAACCCCAAGGGTCTAAAGGATCCGATATTGTGGTATTTGAACGGTATTTGGGTTTAGGATAGTAGCCATGTAGGGTACATGTTTGGAGAGTATATGATGACTAGGTACTTAGGCCCTTAGGCTAATAAATAGTTATTATGAGTTGCGAGAGAGCCAACAGAGACCCTGTCGAGTCAGAAGCTTAGAAAACCCTGAACCCTAAACCCCATAAACCCTATAAGCCCTATAAACCCAGTAAACCCTAAACCCAATGAACCCTCATACCTAAAACCTAAGACCTAAGCCCTAAACTTGATTAAAGCCCTAAACCCTGAACCCTAAAACCGGAACCCTGAACCTTAAACCCATGAAAACCCTGAACCCTAGACCCTGAACCCTAAAGCCTAAACCCTGAACCCTACAGCCTAAACCCTAATCCCTAAACCCTGAACTCTAAAGCCAAAAACCCAAACCCTAATCCTTAAACCCTGATCCCTAAAGCCTAAACCCTAATCCCTAATTAAACCCTAAACCCCGAACCCTAAAGCCTAAAGCCCAAACCCTAATCCCTAAACCCTGATCCCTAAAGCCTAAACCCCAATCCCTAAACCCTGAAGCCTAAACCTTAATCCTTAATTAAACCCTAAACCCGAACTCTAAAGCCTAAACCCCAAAAGCTAATCCCTAAACCCTGATCCGTAAAGCCTATAAACCCTAATCCCTGAACCCTGAAGCCTGAACCCTAATCCTTAATTAAACCCTCAACCCTGAACCCTAAAGCCGCAACCGGTGTCCCCAGACTACCTGGCCGCACTTGCCCCCCGCAGGCTTCTGTCGACGTCTGGGAGGGTCCCTAGGCCCGACCCGTATGTGATTCCTTGTAAAGTTTACCTTAAGCCGGAATAACCTACCTTTTTAGGGTTCCTTATTATAATTTCCTTATATAAGTCCTTAAAAAGGTAGGTTATTCCGGCTTAAGGTAGGACCAAAGCAGGGTCTTCAGGGTTCAGGAGTTTAGGACCAAAGCAGGGTCTTTAGGGTTTAGGAGTCCCTGGCCTTAGCCCTACACCAGAATCTAAGCCCTAAATCCCGAAACCCAAAACCCTAAACGGCTTAGCGCCAGTCTGAGTTTCCATGCAGTTTAGAATAGGGTTTTGGGGTTCATTGCACCAACATTAAGTCAAGGAGCCCGACGGATAATATTGGTATTTATTGGGGCCTTCAGATACAGTAGTTTCCATGTTGGTGCGGTTTCCGGATTTACGCGAGAAGATCTGGAGCTGAACACGCAGTGCTTGTCTGCTTGGGGCAATCTACTGATGTCTTGGCTTAGCGGAGTGATTTAAGGAAACCCTTCAGGAATGCTTTTACTTACTAAGTCAAGAGGGGTTGTGCTTTAGGATCTACCGCAAATAGTTTTTGCTGGCATAGATAGTTTGGTGTCGGCATCTGCAGCAAGCAACGTCGTTGGCAGACATACAGTGATGCTCAGTACCCACGCCTTCCAGATTGTGGGAAATACCTTAAAGTATAGATAGGATCCCTAACATGACTTACGGGATAATCCTTACTTGCGACGCATTGTCGGTTTCATGACGAAGGGGCAGAGGAAATCAATCGCCATTGTGGAGATGGGCCCGAACCTCAAAACCGCAAGTCGCGGTAAGGCCGTGTCGATGCTCTTCCGGAAGTTGGTGGCCTTTTTCATTGCCCAGGAGGATGCCTGAGGAACAGTCGAGAGAGCCCACTCAATTGGGAAGCACCTCTTGCAGAACCACGCGGGCCCGCTGGAAGGCACTGGGGCCACTGAAGCCCCGGCGCAATCATCCCTTTCAGAGACCAAACCGCTTTGGCTCAATCCATTTTGGCTCAATCCGTTTTGGCTCAAGCCATTCTGCCTCAAGCCATACAGGAACTCAAGGAGAAGGCGGCTAAAAAGCGGCAATGGCAAGGACTAGCAGCAGCGAATGCTCTTTCGGTGAATACCGGGGCTGTATTCGTAGTCGCACTATTTTCGGGGCTTCCCATTACCCTTACAAGAAGTTATCCCCTCATTAGCACCAAGTGAATACCTTTGCTACCAGCCCGCAGGCATTATGTCAATCGATCCAAGGGTACAGCTTAGAATGTCTTCGAGGGGTTCACGTAGCTTTGCATACAGGTACACCTATACGTCTCTATATATGATTACAGATGTGTATGCATATCACAAGTGTATATGCTATATATATATATATATATATATATACATATGGATATGTACATATTATATACCCTCTGAGAACACCCGCAATAAGACAAACAGCAGTGCTTGTGCCCCCGACCGATAACCTCAACCTCTAACCTCAACCCTGAACCCCAAACCATCAGCCTTCAATCCTTCAGCTAGTCTGGCATGCCATGGATCAGGCTTTGTCCCACCCTCCTTAAACCTTACACGCATGTCCTAAATCCCTAAACCCGAAATCCCACACCCTAAGCCCTATAAACCCTAAGTCCTACATCCTGAACCCTAAATCCTTCAATCCCTAAATCCTAAATCCCTAAATCCCTAAATCCTGAAATCTCTCAATCCCTATAAACCCTAAATCCTGAAATACCTCAATCCCTAAATCCTGAACCCGAGAGGCAGAGGCGACATTTGCGATTCGGAAGTTGAGCACAAGGTTTCCGAATTGAGATCTACAGTTTAGGGTTTTGCGGTTGACAAAGGGGTCTAGGGTTTAGGGGCTTAGGGTTGAGGGGTCGAGGGTTGAGGGTTTAGGCATCTAGGAGCTTGATGCCGGGGATGAGGTGTTCGGAGATCAACGGTTGGGGGGCTCAGGATTCACCCAGAGCCTCCAAAACCCCTCAATTAAGGAATATCCCGCAAATTATAATAGGATCCCTATTCTGATTTTGAGGTATATTCCTTAATTAAGGGGTTTTGGAGGCTCTGGGAGGGGCTCAGGATTTACGTCCATGAAAGACAAGTCGCTGCAGCCACGCATCGATTCAATGCTGAACTCGACATTTACTAGGATGCCCAGTAGTACCCTTCTTCCCCTTTTGTAATCCTAGGTCCTAGGTTCCTTATAAAGTTACCCGATACGAAAAAGGGAGCCCTTCTTATTCTTATGTTACTGGGCATCCTAGTTTATAGTTTGCCAACTCCAAAGCCGAAAAGCCCCAAGACCCGTTGAGGGCCAGCCCACCCGGCCAACCACTAATACAAAGGCCTTAACAATCAGAATAGGGTCTTGGCTTGGGGCCCATTATACTATAATACAAAAAGGAACACCGAAATAGTATAGGTAACTTATTAGGGCCCCTGTATTACATCATCGGAGTGCTTCTACATCATCCGCAATCCTCCAGGCGCTGTCTTTCATTTGATGCTTGCGTTGCCGCTTCCTCAGCCGTCTTCGGGCTTGAGCAGCCGTCAACCCTAATCCCTAAATCCCAAACCCTACACCCTCAATCCGTGAATCCCAACCTACTATGAATTTATGTTTTCTTTCCCCAAAACACTCAGAGTTTAAGGGTTGGGGTTTGGGGTTCCCAGAACCGCTTGTCAAAGAAAGATGCGTTAAACCGTCGCAAGACGCAAGACACCCCACAATCGGAATAAGGTAGGAACGAGGAACCTAATCCCCGAACCCGGAAAGGCGACATCCTAATTCCAAGGCGGTTCAACCCCAAAATCTCTCCTCTGTGTCTTCCGATTGAAGCCTTTCCTAAACACGTATAGTGAACCCCAGAAAGTTGGAAACAGGATCAAGGACAAATATGCATTACTCTTAAGGATTGCGCATATGGGGTTTCCATCTTTTGGGCTTCTGCCATAAGCTCAATTTCAAACTGGGTTTGCTTCATTCAGATAGATCACAGCATATCCCAAAAGCCGATCCCCAGATCGCTCCCAGAATCCACTGTCCCTTAATTAAGGGGAATATACCTGAAATTATAGTGGGGATCCCTAAGATGATTTAAGGAATATTCCTGAAGTAAGGCGTATTGGAGTCTCTGGGTTCTCTTGAAGCATGCTAGTACCTCCGGTGTATCTCCGGATGGAGAACGTAGCATGCCGCCGCATTATGAGCCAACCCTAAACCCTAAACCCCTAAAACCTAAAACCGTAAACCCTAACCCAAAACCCCTAAACACCTTAAAACCCAAAACCGTAAACCCCTAAAACCCAAAACCGTAAACCCCTAAAATCCCATACCATAAACCCCTAAAGCCCAAACCCGTAAACCCCTAAACCCCGAAACCCCTAAAGCCTAAAACCGTAAACCCCTAAACCCTAAACCGGGTAAAGGGCCTCCCCCAGGAAGATTTTGCCGCACAAAGTGTGCAGAGTCGCCACAGCAAAAAAAGCACGGTTAAGGGTTTAGGGTATAGGGTTTAGGTTTTAGGGTTTTGGGTATAGGGTTTAGGGTTTAGGGTTGATCCTGCTCCCAATGACATATTGGCTGTAAACTTAACTTTTCAACTTTTGGGGTTCTTATAAGGTAGTCGATTTTTGAAAGTTTCGACTTTTATTTCCTTGGGCTTTGGGCCAGTGAGATGAGATGCTGGATACTACTAGTTTTCCGGTGCCAAGACTATGCAGCCAATGCCATAGCTTCGATGCCTTGCCGTACCCACATCTCTACTTTGACGTCTGGTCCTGGCGGTGCTGGTGGTTCAGTAATATTGGGGGCCTTCAGACTTACCCCTACCAGTTTTGGGGGGTGCCGTATGATATTACAATTAGTACAGTGGGCCCCAAGCCCTATTCTAATATTCAAGGCCCGTCTCTTGCTCGTATAGTGTATAGTAATAAAGCCCAATCTATAAGTTGTAGATCTCCGTTTAACCCTTTAAAGGAACTTCTATGACTATTCGAATTATAAAGGCGCCCACATTGCCTTATAAAGCGATGGCAACGAGGCCACCAACACCGCCGGCACGTCCGTCAATGGCACCCTCTATCCCGTAGGACCCCCAAAAAGGGCATAAGCACAAGCACTTTGTTGGGATTTCCTTACCTTATTGAGCTTCCTTATAAGGGGTGCATATGGGATATCCCGACTATCAGTTACCCTAAGGGTCCACGTGCCCAAATAGGGTTCCTTAAAGGGTCCGTTTCAGGGTTCGATAACTGTTGGCGGTTTAAGTGTCCATGTACCCAATGAGTATAAGCTTTGGCCTTAAGGTACTCCCTATATAGGTACATGTGGCCCAAAGTATATACTATTTGGGTACATTGACCCTTTGCCTGAAATCAAAAGCCGGATGAGGCCGCTTCCTCCAGCGTCGTTCTACCCCTTCAGCGCCAGTTGCCTCGCCCTCTATGCGTCTCGCTGGCTATTTTCTTACCAAGAGTGTCCAAGTACTCCTTCTGGTAGGACTTCAAAGCATTTCTGGGTATCAAACGCCCTCTAAATACGGACTACTTGGACGTTTACTCCCTAAACCATAATAACCGCACACCCCTAAACCCTGAAGTCCCACAAACAAGAAATACTTGGACCTTTAGAATTTAATGTTCAGGGTTTCGGGTTTAGGGCTCACGGGTCTCCATCTTCGGATTATCCAAGGGTAGAAGGAGGGACCCTTAATTACGACTCCGGGAGGTGGTTACTTTCAGAGTTTATGACAGGACTCTGGAGTCTGGAGGTCTATCTGGGGTTTTAGACTCCGGGTTTTATGATATCCAAGGGTAAAAGGAAGGACCCTTAATAAGGACCCCTAGGTATAAAAACCTTATTAATATAGCGATTATATACCCATTATATAGCCCATTACAGGGTAGGGGTCCCCATTAAGGGTTCCTCCTTTTCCCCTTTGGCAGGTGGCCCTGAAGAAAGCTTTTTCGGTTTCCCCAAAGTGTTCGTTGCCATAGCCCCAGAGCCGAAAAGCCTCTAAAGCCTAACGTAATTCCTTTTTGGGGATTACCTTCTAGGATTCTATACATGGGTGGCTGTCAATATTAGGAATATTACCTATAGTCTCCAATGTAGTTCCTGTTTTTGGTTAGCCAGTTTTATGGTTAGGATCCTATAATAGAGGACTATAGGTAAAGCCTAACCCCCTAAACTGCACACCCCGCAACCTTCATTCCTAGAACCCTCACTTTGTCTGTCTGGTTCTTGCTAGGGAATGGATCCCTATGACCCAGAGTAGACCCTTATTCCCGTTTTTGAGGCTTAGGTTCCCTTATAAACCCCTTTCAACCAAAAAGGGCACCCTTTTTATTCCTAGGTTACTCTTAGGTCTAGTCTCTATGATAGCCTTTTAAGGTCCCCGATAGTAGCCCCAATTAATCGATTATACTATTATGGAGATATCTGGTATTTCACAACCCTGAACCCTGAAGAAGTGCTTAAAGAAACCCTGAACCCTAGACCCTGAAGAAGTCCTTGAAACAAAAACCCTAAAGCCTAAACCCCTAAACCCTGAACCCTTAACCCTCAAAGGAACCCGCAACTAAGAACCAGTCAGTTGTTGGCAGGCTGGAGCTGTTTGGGGCCCCAGATGCCATGGAGGAGCTCATGGGATCGTAGGTCAGGGTCCCTACTTGGAGGATCATGGAACTTAGTAAGTTAGGTTATAAGTACCCTAATTGGGGTTATAAGTATAGTTACCGTAATAAGAACCCTAGTTACTAAGTCCCATGATCCTTTAAGTAAGGATCTGTTTAGTTTGGACTGGGTTCCTTTAAGGAAGGTTCTTTTTGAGGGTTTAGGGTTTCTTGAAGGGCTTCTTTGGGGTTTAGGGTTTCTTTAAGGGCTTCTTTAGGGTCGCTAATTGCCAGACATCTCCTCGATCGCCTTCACTTGTGATAGGTTTTTCGGAACAGCCCATAGAGAGCCTGCTTGAGGATAACACCATAAAAACCCTAAGCCCTAAAAGCCCTAAACCCTAAATGCCCTAAACCCTGAACCCTAAAGCCCAAATCCTAAACCCTAAACCCTATAGTCAATGACCGGTGTATCCAGCCGTTTCATCGCCAGCCGAAACACGCCTTGAGCCCGCGCCCCCCAAAAATCCGTGTCGCACGGTTGATGATAGAAATCCTGCAGGACCCATGATAAGGAATATACCAAAATTCCCATAGTCTAGGGTCATTAAGGTAATGCAGGGTTTATATCATCAATAGTAGTTGTGAATTCGCCGTAAAAAAGGGATCTATAGGGTTCTACAGGGGATTTATGGGGTTCCAAAAGGGGCATTAATCTGACCGTTAGTGACTAACGGTTAGTCCCTTAGAGTTTGTTGGATTACTTCTCAAAGGGGAAAAGGAGGGACCCTTAATGGGGACCCCTACCCTATAATGGGCTATATAATGGGTATATAATAGCTATAAATTAAGGGTATATACCTGGGGGTCTTTATTAAGGGTCCCTCCTTTTACCCTTGGAACTTCCCGGTTTTCCAAGATCTTGATTCCGGAAATATACATGTATATAGTATGTTTACATTATGGTAGGATCCCTGATGTGAAAAAAAAGCAACCTTCAAACAGTAGTCCTCTAGTTTTTGCAAAAGATCTGGGTGAGAAAAAAACGTGAAGCAGCGCCAGTGGATGTCACTGATTTCATATTCTGGGTTATTCTATCGTACGGCCCAGCGTCCGTTGTGGACTCTTCGGGTCTCAGCCTAGACCCCAAGCATTGAAGCCCCCAAACCCCTTAACCTTAGACCCCCAAAACATCCAAAGCCCAAAAGCCATTTACTTACTAAGGCCGGACGCCGTGTCCAACTTCTGTCTGGTGGCGGAAAGGGTTGCGCCCCTTCTTGGCCGGCTGCTGTGGTGGGGTTCCTGGTTCCTTTCTGCAGGGTCTTTAGGACTCTTTAGGCTTTGAATGGGTTTTACAAGATGTCATAAGGTTTTTCTAGGGTTTTGTGGGTTATATGTTTGTTTTTGTACGGCTTTCTGGGATTTTTGAGCGGGGTAAGGGTTTTTTGTGGGGGGTAAGGGGGCACGCGTCTCCCAGTGCCACCGTTGTCTACCCGTCTACTTGCTGGGATTTCAAAAATCGGATCTGACGAATGGGAACCCTGAGTCCATCGGTTTAGGGTTAAGGGTTAAGGGTTTAGGATGAAGGATTTAGGGCTTAGGGCTTAGGGTTTAGGGCTTTTAGGGTTTAGGGTCCATAATCCTTCTATACTCGTGTACAGAAGAGAGGCCCTCTAATCTAAACATCTATAAAATCCCTCTGATTAGTACAGTGCTCTTGTATGTGCAAGCCTTTCGTTTGGAGCCTGGGGTAGGGGCCTACATAAGTTGCAATACTCTTTTGAGGGTTCCTGTTTAGAGTTATATGATTAGCACAACATGCCACCTAAACCTTGTTAAAGTTCGGCAAGGCCCCTATATTGTAGAACTCTAATTACTATAGAACGCTATCCTTCATTTCTTTCATTTTCCTTGTTTTCATTCATTGCATGTGCCTCTTTCATTTCACTCATTGCAGATCGTTTTAAAGGCTCCTTTCAAGGGTTCTCTTCAGCGCCCCTTTTTGAAAGGCTCGTTTGAAGGGTCCTTTCAATGGCTCCTTGTTTGGGGTCTAGTAGGGTTCAGGTTTAAGGGCTCAGTTGGGCGCGTTTCCTTTTAAGGATTCCTTTAAGGGTTGTTTCAGGGAGGTTCCCTTCAAGGGCATCGTACGGGTTCCTTTTGAGAGTTCTATGAAGTTTTCGGGTTTTGGGCTTCTGTAAGCCTTTGGCTCAAGGCCACCAGGAGTTTATCGGAGCAGCACCCACGTCGGACGCCATCCAGAACGTGATTCGTTGAATCCAAATCCAACACCGCGTCCCCAGAGGCCCGAATAAAATGGCCCTGCACTTCCTAACCAACAACTACTCTACTAACCTGAAGCCACTCAATCGTTTAGTTCAAGGCAGTTGTGTGTTTAGACCCGTGTAGGGTTTATAAATCATGAAAGCCCATGAACTCTGAAAGCTCGAGCCTCAAAACTGATAAAATCGCTAAACCCCATCCCCTCTCAACAACAATCAACTTTAGCTGAACCCTATACCCTGAACCACTACCACCTGTTAAGAGCGCAAAAGAATACTGATACAGTAGAAATCAACAAGTCAAGCAAGCATGCAAACAGACGCAAACGGTGAACATGTGTACATGCATGCTGATACACATATATATATATATATATATCTGTCTATCTATCTATGTGTTCAAGTACTGTCTCATCTAGATACCTACCTACGTATACGGATACACATGCACGCATGCATGCATGCATGCATGTATGTGTGTGTATACATACATACATACATGCATACATACATACATGCATGTGTATATATATATATATATATATATATGGTCACCCCCCCCCCCATGACAGACCATGCCCTTTCGACTCAGTCGTAGTGCATGGTGTGTGTGATCGGGGGGAGGGGGCACTCAGCTTTCAAAGCCTCAATTCCAAAATTTCCAAAATTTCCAAAATTCTCTCCCCTAACTTTCCGGATTTCCAAAATTTCCAAAATTTCCAAAATTTCCAAAATTTCCGAAATTTCCAAAATTTCCAAAATTTCCAAAATTTCCAAAATTTCCAAAAAGTCCGCCCTTATGTTTTGGAAAAATCCTGTCGACTAGGTCGGGAAATTTTGGAAATTTTGGAAATTTTGGAAATTTTGGAAATTTTGGAAATTTTGGAAATTTTGGAAATTTTGGAAATTTTGGAAATTTGGAAATTTTGGAAATTTTGGAAATTTCGGAAATTTTGGAAATTTTGGAAATTTTGGAAATTTTGGAAATGCGGAAAGTTAGGGGAGAGAATTTTGGAAATTTTGGAAATGCTGGAATCTGTTCTATATATGACTCAAGTAAGATTACTGTGTAGTGCTTACTATGTAGTGTATCAGCACAACCCTCATCCATACACGTGTGCTCTGTAATTCCTTTCTTGGTAGGACACCCGCGCGCCTTGTCGTGCTAGTCTCCGCATCGGACCAGATTACTTGCAAAGGCAAGGGCTGTCAATACTCATGCCCATATTTACACGAATATCTCTCTATCTATCTGTATATCTATATATACATATATGTATTGATACTCCTACATATAGTATTGCCATTGAACATACTGACATTGATCATTTGTTGAATGCTCAAGCTAATACCAGCATTACTACTAATATTACACTTCTATAAAGCTTAGTACGAATATGCATAACACAAATACTAAGATTGATTAGTATTGCTCTTAGTACTCCTACGCATATCAATAACCATATTCATATTGATAATAATGTATAATAATACCAATACTAACACACACCTGTATGTACTAATGTACATAAACATGCATACCACCATATTAAAATACAAATCCTTTAACTCACTCATGAATTCAACTGTTAGAATTTCACGTGGTCAAGAGTAATAACAATACAAACATTCTTTCGAATGTATATCATCAATAATATGATAGTACTAACGCTAACACTACTGCTAATACTTAACACAAAATCTATACTAACATCAATATTTACATAGCTATTTATACTCCTACGAATACGAATACGTAAACCCTTGTGCGTTAACAGTAGTGCTATCACCAACACTAATACGGACTTTGATAATCTGCTGCATATTCAAGAATGCCACTAGTATTACCAGCATGAACACTCATATTATGGCTATTACGAGTATAAATAGTCCTACTTCTACTAGTATTGACATTAATACTCCTACGAATACCAATAGTATATTCATATTGATATGAAAACTAATACCATTACTAATAGACACCTGCATATACTCATGTACATAAAATACGTACCACTATCTTAAGATACAGATATATACATCAGTGCATTCATGTATTAATGCTTTGGCATAGGCATATACCCATATACCAATGTATCAATATACTTCTCGTTGTTGTATGAATATACTATACGAATATGTGACTATAATCATATACGGCTACTGCACTATGCAAGAATACCGACATGACAAGTTCGTATACTAATATGCCAACATACTGATATACTTATACATGATTAGATAAAACAGTAATATAGTACACATATTCGTACACTAATATGCTAACGTACGAATATACTGGTATGTCAATATACTAGTAAGCTAATACAGCAGTATAGTAGTGTAGTCATGCACCAGTTGTACTAACATGTAAAATATACTAGTATACAAGTATGCAAATATTTTGCTGTCCGAATACATTGATGTATTGATATACTAATCTGCTAATATACGAGACTATCAATATACTAACATATCAAAACTAACTAGTTCTAATATTGATACTAATACTAGCACTTCTGCGAATATAAGCTGCTGTTAAACCCAGCATTAAGACTGATACTGATACTACTCGTAGCAGTGGTGCTGTATTACTGACATTGACACTGGCACTAGCGCTAACTCTAACACGAACATGAGCACTAACACTAATTTATAGTTGGCAATATTGATACGTATACTTACAGCAAGCAATAGTACTAATATTAATAACAATACTCACCCTAATACCGATACTACCACAAGACTATTACGTAACTCATGTGCCGCACGTCTGGTGCTATACTATATACCTCATGTAACGGTTTTGCTTCACAGAATATCGTTGTGCACGGTGTTTTTTAGACCCGTGGTCTGTCACCGGGGGGGGGGTGAGCATATATATATATATATATATACGAGTGAATGAAACCTTTAGACCACGACCCCCCAAACCCGCTATACAAAAATTATCGAACGGAGGTTCGCCCTGCCCGGACTCCTGGCGGCCACCACAGCGGCGGCCGATTCTTCAGGCCTGGTGGTACTGCAAGCTGTTCGTGGGTTTAGGGTACAGTGGTTTTGGGTTTAGGGCTGTAGGTTTGTGGTTTGGGGTTGACATGGGTTTCGGATTAGGCCTTCGGCGTAGGTTCGTTTTGCTTGGTGCATGCGCGATAATTCGTGTTTTCCGGGGTCTGCGGGAGTTCCGCGGGGGTTGAAGTTGTTCGTTCTCTTTTGTCTTGCGGCTCTACGGGCTTAGGGCTTAGAGGTTCTGCTTCAAGGCTTTATTAGAAGTGTATAGTAGTGTTTTGGGTGATCATGTAGAAGGGTTGAGGCTATATTCATATGTTTGAAGGGCTCCAACCGGATCGAAACGATTGAAAATGACTCTTGCAGCCTAGTCCCTGAACCCTAAACCCTCAAGCTTGGGATGCATATTAAAGGGTTCCGCTTGAGGACTAGGATGTATTCACGGTATCAGGTGGTGAGTTGAAGCGTGTTTTGACCTGAAATGGTTTGGATTACAACACGAAAGGTTGTGGTTGTCAAGTTTACGGACCTGGGAAAGGTTTTAGGGATCAAGGTTCACCAGGGTTGCTTGGAGGTTCATGGGTAGTTATAAGGTGCGTTATAAGCCCGCCAATATGGGTTATAACTATACTTATCTTACTTATAAGCCCACTTATAACTACCCATGAACCTCCAAGTGCAGGGCGACAAACAAGCTTTGGGTTTTATAAGGGTTTGGCGCAGCGGCTCCGCTTGCTATAGGGGACGGAAGAACTACAAGTATTATTCCTTGCGGTTTCTTATTCGATTCATCCCAAAATGTAGCCCAAAAGCCCCTATCTTAATTGTTGAGGCCCCTACCCAGACCCCAGGGACGATCCAAAAAGTAGATCCCTTAATGGGGGGTTCCTATAAAGTAGTATAGGGCCCCAAATTAGGGGATCTACTTTCGAGATCCTCCCGGGGGTCTGGGTATATCGCTTCAATCAGCTGAACCGAGTCGGAGACCTCAGCGACCCTAAGCCAAACCTTGGGTAGTATCATTAGGGAGACCCCTTGAAGCGTACCCCTTCTGAACCCTATTTCTGGCTCTCTTAAAAGGGACCTTATTGAGAGGGTCTATATCCCCAAGGGTCCCCCTAATCCTAACTCCCAAACCTGAAGAGCCCATGCAAAGAAAGAGGGGTATCGTATATCAATTACGCTCTAAGCAGGACTGTCGTTGAAAAGTTTAGTTTCTGTGAGGTACCAGAAAACCGACATATCGAAAATTATGGGGTTTCTTCATACTCGCAACCTAAACTAAATTCACTCAGTTCTGTAATCAGAACCGATTAAGGTACACACCCTGAAAACCTGGTTCAGGTTTCTGGTCCACTTGGGTGAAGCAAGGCGATGGCAGTGATGCTCCGTTTGAGTATCCGTGTCTCCGGCGTGTTTCCAAAGTGCGGGGTTCAGAGTTCGGGCTCACCGGCCACTATGGTATAGGGGTTAGGGCTTAGGGTTTAGGCTTTGGGGCTTGAGGTTTGGGGTTGAGTGTTTAGGGTTTTTTATACGGAGTGGGAGTTTGCAGGGTTGAGGATTTGGGGCTGTCTGTTACAGTGCTGGACTTGCTGCGTGTTGGGGTCTACAATAACGTTGCATCCATATACCCCCGACAGGTACTTAGGAAGAGTACCTCCGACGCATACCCAATCCCTCCATCGATATTACCCTAAGGGTCCATGTACCCATATAGCATATACTTTGGGCCCAATGTACCTATATAGGGCGTACTTTAAGGCCAATGTACTTACTATATGAGTACATGGACCCTTAGGGTTTGCACCACAGCTGACTCCTAGAGCCTCCAATACCCTTTAATTCAGGAACATACCTTAAATTATCATAGAGCCAGCAGTCTGATCTCCAGAAAAAAAGTTTTGGGTTTTAGGGCTTGGGGCAAATTATCATAGGACTCCGAGGATGATTTAGGCATAGTCCTTGGTTAAGGGGTCTTGGGAGGCTCTGGGTGACTCGTACATGCATGTGCTTACATACAAGCATGCGTATGTACGAACATACCTACACATATACCTACGTGCATCCATACATCCATAAACACATACGTACATACATATGCATAGATGCACTGATGGCCAGGGTGAGTGTGAACACATAAACTGTACAAGCATGGTGTATGACAGCCAATTTTTCAGTACATAGTTACATAGCTGCCAGCCATCAACTCTTGCACAAGACATAAGAGCTACTGTACATGACATTACATGAATGCACGTAACATAGATGCAGAAGCAGGCGAGTCATCGTCTGATCTGGGTACTGTTCAATATTATACGACCATACGACATAACGAGTTTGGGGGTACTTGGAGGATCATGGGACTTTAAAGTAAGCTTATAAGTACCCTAAGTGGGGTTATAAGTATAGTTATCCTAATAGTAACCCTAGTTACTAAGTCCCATGATCCTTTAAGTAAACAGCTCTCCCGAGGCCACACGCAGCTGCAACGAGGTTCCCTAAGATATACATTGGCCCCAATGTACCTATAATATAGGGACTACATGAAGGTCAATGTATATACTATATGAGTACATGGACCCTTATACCCTAAACCCTCATAGATCCCTTAAAGGATCCCTTATGGTACCCTTAAAGGAACCCTGTGGGGTTGTGGGTTGGAATTCACTTCCAGGCCCTATGACCTCTACAACGGAGCGATCTACTGGTGCTTTCTGGTCTTCCCGGCAAGCTTGCTCCCAGAGCCTCCAAAAAACCCTTTAACTAAGGAATATGCCTTGCTGCTTTGGGACTTAGTAACGGCTGTGGGGAGGATTTCGTAGGTCATTGCGTTCACAGCTTGCGGGTCGGACGTTAGGCTTACCTGGCCCTTAATTTAGAGGGTCCAACCCCCAAAACAATAGGTTTTGGGATCCTCAGGCAGGGCTTAGGGCCTTACTTGGAGGTTCCGGGGTAGTTATAAGTGGGGTTATAAGTCCCAGAATATGGGTTATAAGCATAGATACCCTACTTATAAGTACCCATGAACCTCCCTATAGATCCCTTTAAGGAACCCTATAGATCCCTTTAAGGAATCCTATAGATCCCTTTTAGGAACCCTAAGGAACCCTGGGTTTGGGGCTCTAGGCTCGAACTTTCATCGGATTCACGGCTGCAGCTCCCCAAATTCGAAGCCTTGGGTTTCGCACCCTTCAGCCCAGAGACTCCCATATCCATGAATTAAGGATTATACCTTAACCTACCAGAACCTACTTTTTTTGTAGGGTCCTTATAAATCCCATATTAAGGTTGATAATAAGAACCTACAAAAAAGTAGGGTTTAGTAGGTCTAGGTACCTTACTAATTAAATCAAATAAGATCTTACTATAATTCAAAGTATACTCATAATACCCTTTAATTAAAGCTTATATACCTTAAATCAAACTAGGGATGCTACTATAATTTAAGGTATACTCCTTCATTAAGGAATATTGCAGCCCCCTAAACCCTAAACCCAATAGATCCCTTATGGATCCCTTAAAGGAACCCTTCTACTATAATTGAAGGTATTTTCCTTGCTTAAGGGATATTGGAGACTCTCGGAGCCCAACATCCCCGACGTCCGCGAGAACAGGTCACTGCGCTTTGGCTTCTACTGTGCCTCTCTGGGCCTGGATCAGCAGACAAGGTGGCATCTACATGCTGCCTCTAAACAAGAGACTATGTCGAGTTGCGGGTGCTAGACACGATTGAGGGTTTGGAGTTTAGGAAAATAGCTTCGGTTTTGAGGGCGAAGGGCCTTTCAAGGGTCCAAGGAATCCGAAGCCTCGATAATATTCAATCAGCTGTAGTCTTTAGTCCCCATACAGTGAGCGCCAGAGTGCCCCCAAGCCTATTCTAATTGATGAATAAGGCCTCTCTTGTTGCTGGCTTCGGGGTGCACCGGAGCTCCGTTTTTCGACAACCTGAGCCCTTAGGCATGTTGAAACCTTGGTTGAATTCTACTGTCACTTTGGAGCGTTCTTACTTTCTTACTTGTAGGGTTCTTAGCCTTTGTGATATTAGGGATACTGTAACGTTTTAAATGTAGCAAGGTGGTACAGAGCAACCCAGAAGTGCAAACGCTATTTTGAAACCCTCATTTCCTAAGTTCATTCCGAGCCCCCGACTCCAATGCCTGTATCTTACCCCACCCCCTCCAAAAAAATCCCGCACTCTGATCTCTTGCTCCTGAGTCCATGCGTAGAAATGGGATTTAGGGATGAGTAGGGCTTGGGTTTTTTGGATTGGCTGGCGGGGAGGATCCCTAAACCCTAAACCCTAAACCCTAAACCCTAAACCCCAAACCCTAAACCCCTAAACCCTAAACCCTAAACCCTAAACCCTAAACCCTAAACCCCTAAACCCCTAAACCCTAAACCCTAAACGAGTTACGGCAAGCGGTGCCTCATGGGCTTTCCATGGGTCGGAGTAGAGTCAGGGTGTAGAGTGTAGGGGTTTTGCATGATCCTTCTTAACCCCCCTAATCTTTAAGCCGCCAGACCCGCCTAATCTATAAGCCACCAGACCCGAAATGTCCAAACCTTAACCGATCTTGATAATCTTTCTTGTGTTCCTGTCTCCGCGAACCCTAAACTCTAAGAACTATACCATACAACTTGAACCCTTGATTGTAGAATCATAACATAATGGAAACCTTAGCTTGGCGAAGTCCTCGTTTTTCGTTGCCCTATTCGATGAGGCACGTCCGGCCCCGGCAAAACCATTATTCCCCTTTACACTCTCTCTTTTCTTTCTTACAGTCGTGGTGCCTGCATGAGCGGTCGCGCTATCGGCCAGTATGCGGCAACCCAACCTGTTGCTCGTAAAGGGCCCCTCCGTCGGTTGCTGATATAAGTCATAATATAGGGACCCAAATTACCAATACTATTGTGGGGTTCTTTATCATAATCATTAGTAGAATCTTTCCCCAAACCCTCTTCTATTTGTGCGGGTCTCTACATTACCCACAGGGTCGAAACTGCTGATGGACAAAATCCTGCATGACCCATAGTAAGGAATATACCATAATTCCCATAGTTTAGGGCCCTTAAGGTAATGCAGGATTTATATCATCAACCGTTTCACGACGGTGTAGGCAAGGTCTGTATTGTTCCGATGCTTTAGGTTTATGGTCAGGGTTTCAACGTCTAGGTTGTAGGGCTTCAGGGCTTTAGGGTTTCAGCGGCTTGAGGAGCTTGGAGTTCAATGTCTAGGACCCAGAGTAGGCCCTTATTTCCTTTTTTGAGGCTTAGGTTCCCTTACAAGCCCCTTTAAACCAAAAAGGGCACCCTTTTATTCCTAGGTTACTCTTAGGTCTAGATGTTGAGGGAGTTTGCGGTGTAGGGAATTTCGGGCTTTGGGGGGATTAGGGTGTCGGCGTTGCGGGATGTCGGGGGTTTCAGTAAGCAAGCATCGAGGTTATGCAACATGCCCTTCGGGTTGCATTCTCGAGACCTAAACTCCTCAACTCTTTAACGCATATTTAAAAGCTTTACCATAATCCTTGCATCCAACGGACATACCTACGCTCTCATCCCTCCGATCGAAAGTATTTCAGTTGACTTGCTTTTTCAGGGTGGCGAGCGGCCTGCTCGTGGCGGCGCGCTGGTGGCTACCTCAAGTGGGCATTACTTTGTCGGACGCTTACAGAAACTTCAGGCGCAAAGGATCAGGGATTTAGAGATTTTAGGTTGTAGTCGCCAGTTTTCAATGTCAATATTTTCGAGGGTGTCAAATTCGCTGCATTGCGCTCAGTCTTGTGTCGCGGATGGTGAAGGTGCATTTCTGACGGGGGATACTATAAGACTTTTTGCTGGTGCATCCCTTTGCCCATTCCCTTCTGACTGCGGACTTGAGGAAAGGTCAAAGCAGTCTTGATAAACTTAGCCGACTTAGCCGTCTTCAAACCAGAACGCCTAGACCCTACCTTCAATGCCAACGGTCCTTCATCACGTGGACCACAACCCATATCCTGAGCCCTAGAATCCGACTCTAATTCCAAATAGCCTAGCTTGTCAAGGACTTGTGTACGGTTCAACAAATCAGAATAAGATGACGGCAAGATGGTTCCTTATTATGACTCCCTTACATAATCCCCAGAACAGGTATCCGTTTGGGGGTTCGGAATCCCTAAACCCTAAACCAACGGCCATAAACTATGGATCCCAAGAGCCTTTGTGAAGATCTTCTCAAGGCCTCCATCTTCGTCGTGCTCGCTGTCCTGACATTGGGCTTGGGACCATACTTAGGCCGATTTTGTGTTGAAGATTTCGGTTCCTTTGCGGTTTAGGCCGATCTTTTGGTTAAGTTTAGTCTTCAATTTGTGAGTTCGCGGTGCAGGGTTTCGTGGTGTGCCGTTTGTGTTCAGAGGTTTAGGGCTCCAGGATTTTGGTTTTGTCATTCGGAGCTTCTAAACCCTAAACCCTAAACCCTAAACCTTCATGTTTCTTGGGTTTGAGGGTTTGGGGATTCAGTCGTCAGGTTTTAGGGTCTAACTTTAAGGCTCTTGGAGACTTTGTTACTTTGTTCCTTTTTTGGTTCCGGTCTTCTTTTATAGGGGTCTCCGAAAAAGTAGTTTTTTTGCTTACCTTCCAAGGGGAGTAGAGTAAGGTGCAGGGTTTATATAGCCCTAAGGCTCCATGTGCCCATATAGTACATACTTAAGCCTCAAAGGGGTTCCTATATAGGTACTTTAAGGCCAATGTATATACTATATGAGTACATGGAGCCTTAGGGTAGTATGTCTCGATCAATCTTACGGCTTTGATGGGTGATGGCCCTAAGCCGAGGGGTTTCCAGGAGTTCAAGCACCTAAATTTCTCTGTGCCGAAACCGGGGTGCAAAATTGAGGGTTTAGGGTTTAGCGTGTAGGGTTTTGGGTTTAGGGTTTAAGGGTTTAGGGGTTTAGGGTTTAGGATTTAGGGTGTACGGTCTAGGGTCTAGTAAGCTAAGGCGGCTTAACATTGAGAGCCGCTCAAAGCGAGCGTGATTTGGCAGACCTCCTACTTGGGTGGTTGTCAAAATTAGGATCCCTTTTTGGGTCCTTGTTATAATAAGGCACTATTTAGGGTACCCGAAAAGGGACCATAATTTTGACAACCACCCACCCCACCCTCCCCCTCAGCGCAAAAGCCCCATGATCCGAAGTTGCTTGAGTTGTGTATGGCTTAGTAGCTGAGCAGGTAGTAACCTTTAACCCTTTTGGGGCTTATAGAGTCCTACACTGAACCCTACAGTAGAAGCCCAAAAGTTGGAAACCCAATAGCCTCATTTCTTAAGAGTACTGTATAAGGAATCCCAGCACTATTTGGCCTTGATCCGGTTTCCAACTTTCCGGGGTTTACTGTAACCCCAAGAATAGACCCCTACTATAATAGGTCCCTTATAGATCCCTTCAAAGGACCCCTTAAAGGAACCCTAAACCCTACAACCCTAAACCCCAAACCCTAAAACCCTAAAGCCCTGAACTGTAAGCCTTAGCCCCTAAAGCCTTGATGATGGGGTTCCTTTCCGGCCGTGTCCTTTTTCATGGTTCCCCCAAAAGAATAAACAGACCGGCTAGTAGACCTTCTTAAATAATTCCTACTAATAAGGGATATAGGTATAGGGCTCTGTCTATTACTTCTAAAAGGACAAAAGTGTTCCTTTAAGGCAAGGTTTTCTGAAGGGGATTTTTACGATGATTACTGCAAGGGGTTCCTTTATCAAAGGGGAAAATGAGGGACCCTTAATGGGGACCCCTACCCTATAATGGATTATATCATGGCTATATTATGGGTATATACCTAGGGGTCCTTATTAGGGTTCCCTCCTTTTACCCTTTGACTTTAATGTCCTGTTCCCTTGAGGAGTTCCTATCAGTATGGGGCTCAGACTTAAAGTTCTCGGGTGTCAAGATTCGCTGTTAGAAGCCCGCGCCACCAAATAGCATATTCCCATGCTGCATGGAATGCTACGTACTATGTAGAGAGCTGAATTGAGTAGATAATCAAAAGCATCCAATGAACCGTAAGCCTTAAACCTCAAAGGCTTAATTGCTTAAACCCTAAGCCTTGGATTCTAAATATTATAGATCCCGATAAAGCCTGGTATTTTGTCTCAACCCCAAACCCTCAAACCTTTCTAGACCTCAAATCTAAACCTCATAGGGCCTAGATCCTGAACCTTAAATCCCAAGCCCTAAATGTCGATTTGGCTTAGTTGGTTAGATCTGAGTGCATGTCCGCTGAAGTGCAGCCGAAGTCAGTTAGTGAACCTACACGTTGTGTGCAGCAGCGTGGCTCCTGGTTGAAGGAAAAAGGCGTTAGTTCGTTGCGGATGTCGCATGCCGCTTGCTGAAGCCTGCAAGCCAGATTTCTGCATTGGTGCAGCGGAGCAGGGGCTCCATGGCTTCTAACGGGACGGAAGCCACGAGCGAGTCTCCAGCTGAGACTACGTGGACGCAAGAGCCGCAAGCTGCTGGCTGGTGGACAGGCTGGCAAGATTCGGCGAATGACTGGTGGGCTTGGCAACGCCCGCAGTGGAACTCCTATGCAGGAGGCAGTTGGGCGGCTTATGGCGGCAATGGCTGGAGCAGCCAATGGGGACCATCGTGGTCCGGCGATCAGTGGCGAGCAAAGCAGTGGAATGATACTTCTGAAGCCTGGAAGCAAGGGCCTCAGCCATCTTCCACGAGGAACGCCGAAGCGGCGAACGAAGCAGGAGACGACGCGGATGCAGGCCGGAGACAGTCTGCATCTACGATGGCGATGGAGGAAGATCCCTGGCTGGGCGAAGGCACAGGCTCGCTTGACGATGGGTCGTCGAGCAAAGCAACTTCGTCAAAAGCTAGTGGCAAAGACTTCATTCCGGAGTACGACGGCACAGGACCGATGAGGGAGTACCAGCGGCGAGTCAAACTGTTTGAGATTAGTACGGGTATAGATCCAAGTTTTAGGGCTCAGAAGCTGATGGAGAAGTTGACGGGTAACGCTTGGTTGGCTACTGAGTCGATTCCCTTGGAGTCACTCAAACATCCGGACGGTGTGACTCGCTTGCTGGATCACTTGTGGAAAGAGCTGGAGCCGCTTGAGTTCTTGAGAACGTTTCAGACTCTGGCAGACTTCTACAAGGGCTTTCGCCGCACTCGGGGACAAGAGTTTGTCGCCTATGACATGGAGTTTCGGCGGCATGGACAGAGGCTTGAGGAAATCCAGGCTGGACTCAGTGGGGTCACGAAGGCTTACTGGTTTCTGGAGAAGGCCGCGCTATCCCCAGAGCTTAGGAAGCAGGTGGTGGCAGCTGCGGGAGGACAGTATGATTACAACAAGCTACGGGCCGCTGTCATGGCGATTGTCCCTCAGGTGAACAAGGAGGAGGAGAGCTCAGCGGGTGGCAGTGCCAATCCAGGCAGACAGTGGAGAAAAGCCCCGGCGAAGGTTCACGCCACCGTCGAAGATGAGAACATCGGGACAGGGGAAACCGAGGAAGACAATGATGATATGATCCCCGAGGCATTGGAGGAGGAACTTCAGTGTTTGCTTACGCAGGCAGCTAAGAAAAGAGCTCAGGTGGAAAAAACGAGGGGTTTCTCGAGCACGGCAAGCAGAAAGAATGAGACGCCAGAGGCCAGAGCCAAGAGGATTGCCGAGCTGAAACAGCGCATGCCTTGCAGCGCGTGCAAATCGCACGGCCGTACAAGCTACGGCCACTGGCACAGCGATCCGGAGTGCCCCTTCCGATCGCAGAAGCCTCCGAAGACTGGTGAAAGCGTCTTAGCCGTGGTCGAAGAGGAGCTCTCGGATTCCGATGGATATGGACCTCTGGAGGCCAGCATTTTCATGACTGACGCTAGGGATGTGAGTCTGAGCGAGCCATTCTGGTGCGCAAGCGCGATCACGGCGCCAGAAGAAGGCAAAGGTGAGCGCTTCCTGGCATTGTCTGACACATGCTGCGCCAGGTCAGTTGCCGGTTTGGTGTGGGCCCAGGATCACATTAAGCATCTACATCAGAGTGGGATTGATGCTTACATTGTGAATGAGGCCAGGCCTTTCCGTTTTGGAGCTGGACCACGGATTTCGTCGGAGTTTAGCATGGTGATTCCGTTGAGAGTTCAGGGGGCCGAGTGCACACCATGGGTGCGAATCAGTGTCGTGGATCAAGAGGTCCCACTCCTCTTGAGTAAGAGCGCGCTCAAAGCCTTGGGAGCTCGATTGGATTTGGGACAGGCCCAGGTGGAGTTCACCGTCCTCGGAACCACCACCCCTCTGATAGAGACACCGACTGGTTTGTGCGGGTTCCTTATCAACCACCCTGAATACCTCAACTCCGGACCAGGTTTGGAGAGTTTGCCTCCTCGAGAGATGCTGGAAGGTGAATTGGAGGTTTGTGTCGACCCACGATCAAATGACCAGGGCGAGGTAGGACACCATGAATCTGTTGCCAAAGAGGGTGGAGGCATGCCGGACGGAGAGTACATGGCCTGTGAACGCTTGGCCAAGGAGCTTCTCAGGGTCGAGGATTTTTCATACGATGCTTTGCAGAGTGTGGTTGAACTTCTACCATGTATCAATCCCAAACATCAAAGAGCTATCAACGTGCCTAACGGACGCATGGCAGGCATCATGGCAGGTGCATGGGCTCACGGGAAGTTCAGTGGAGTGGCAAAATCTGCTGAGAGATTTCCTGTGACCATTCGTTACATCAATGAAGCCATGAAGAGCAGGGTCCAGGCTCCTTGGACCTCCTTCGTCGTGATGAAGAACATCAAGACCGCCATCCACAAGGATAACCACAACAGGACTGATAGTGCCACAGTCACCGTATCCTTTGGAGATTTCAAGGGTGGAGAGTTGTGGGTGGCAGCAGAGAGTTCTGAATCAGGCGATAAGCCGGCGTATCGGAAAGGGCCTGCAGGCAAGAGGATTGCTGGCACGATTATCGACACGAGGCACAAGCCGTATATACTGTCGCCTAAGGTTCCGCATGGCACTCAGCCGTGGACCGGAAACAGGTGGTGTTTGTCGTGCTACAGAGAGAGATCTTGATGCCACTTCGCGAAAGACGTTGACTGCACTTGGTTTTCCATTGAGCACCGTCCCAAGGACCAGGACCTCTGGGAACACAGTGCGTGTATGTCAGACTTCACCCGATGACCAGCCACATGAATTTAGGGGTGAAGTAGCAAGCCCAATACCACAAACTCCGCTTCATGTGATCGATAGCTCAGTGGCTCAGTCCGAGTGTAGTGTTGACCATCGCGAAGAACCTC